CCTGTTCTGTTTCGTGTGTGTGTGTGTGTGTGTGTGTGTGTGTGTGTGTGTGTGTGTTTAAGTAAATTTTTACTTATTCATCTGCTTTCTGGCTTCCAAAATTTTCTTCTTGTTCTTTTGTTTTTTACTCTTTATCCTTATGGTTTATGATGTTTTTATTCCACTACGGTCATTTTAGTGAGGTTTAGGAGGAAACAAAAGGTAAGTATATGTGTTCAAGCTGCCATGCTGTTCAAAAAGAATTTTTTTTTAAAAAAGTAAACTATTTACATAGTTTAGTAACTAGTTATAATGTGCACAGCCATTAAGCAGTAGTCAAATCAAAAAATAAAACATTGTTGGCACCCTGAGAGGCCTCCAGGTGTCCCTTCCTGATGACAATTAGATCTCTAAATTTTGTTTTTTAGACGTTTTTGAGGAATTCTCACTGCCAAGGAGCAATGTAAAGTAGGATCAGTACTTTACAAGTTCAGCATTTTCTTTAGGCAATACGCAGTGGTGGGTGCTTGGTTTTATAAAGATGAACAAGCACAGTCCCTTTCCCCAAGGAGCTTATCCCTTCACAGAGTGAAACAAATGACACCGACTTTAACGGAGAAGACACCTTTCAGAGTGTCTCCCTGTCCCACCCTCAGAGTGAATCTCTGCAGCCTTAATGGGCACCCGGCTCCTCTGGCCACAGCTGATTGGATTAGAGGTCTAGGGACACGTGACTGGAGTTGCACCAATGGGGTTTCCTCTCTAAGGGATTTGACTTAGAATTCAAAGGTGCTAATTGGCCTCTGCTGCCCAGTGAGTTAAGGGCCTGTCCACACTGGCCTGGACACTTCTAACCACCTATCCGTGGCCACGCAGAGAAAACCCATCTGGAGAGGGAGAGGAGGAAACCAAGCAGGCACATAGTCGCTTTCCAGTTTCAGCTTTCAGACTCGTGGACTCCATGAGATATTCCTGCCTAGATTAAAACAGCTATAATACTAATACACTACCGCTGTGAAGGCCAAAAAATGAGAATGAACATGTGAAGAGGGCTCGAAGCAAGAAAGAGGGTGTATCTGGTGGAAGAGTAGATGGAATTAGGAGTCGTGAAATATTCCATGAAAAACTTTGACAACTGAGTGGGGGCACCATAAACGATGGGTAAAATTCTAACAGGAGGGGATGGCGTGAGAGCGTTTATAAACGGAAGGAACCACGCAGGGAGAGAAAATGGGGGGCCTTGTCCCAAGATGGTCCTTGTGAAAATTCGAGCGCTCTTCCAGCACTTTCTGTCTCCGCACGACGAGCTGTGACGCAAGCCAGCACATCCTAGGTCCTTTTTCCCACTTGGAAGTAATTAACAGCAAGTGGCACTCCGTTCTTACAGGCCTCCTTCTAGCTACTTTGTTTTAAAGAAAATTAAAGAGGCCATCCAGGGAACCCCCTGTATTTCTACAGAAAAAAAAAACTTCTCCAGAAAGCTGTGATGTAACTAATAATGCCACGCTGTGATCTTCAGTATAAATTTCATTCCTGTTTCCTCATTCCAGGGTAAGTGGTAATTAAACACTTCCCAGCAGTGTGAGGTGACTTATAGGAAATCCAAACACAATTTCACTCCAGGGAATCCTGTTTGACTCTCTTGGCCGTTTTCTCAATGTCTGTATCCATGGCCTTCAGATGTATCAGGTCACCCATTTTCGGAGCCACGGATTACTTTTCTAGGAAAATAGGTACTTCGCCAAATTTTAAAAACACACCACAAATGGGACTTTAGAAAGTATGTAAAATACTTCTTGTGGTTTGAACAGCCATTGTCCACAAACTATGCTTCTAAAATCTGAATGAACTATCCAGTGATAAGGTATTACATAAATAGGCATATTTCCTATTTTTATGTTTATAAGTACATTGATTAATGAGAGGAGTAAAACTGAACTCAGTAGGAAAGTTTGGAGAGAAACAAAGAAGTGAGAATTTGTACCTCATAGCTAATATTATTTACCTTATTTAGGGAAAGATCTAGTTTTTATACCAAAGTCACTTTTAGCCAACAAGCCAGTGAAGTTATACATTTTTTCGAAGTTATAAATTTGAAAGCAGCTTATGTTACTCTCTTAACTGTTGACCCATTCATAATTTTAAGTATTCATTCCCAAACCAATCTTTATCATAGCCTTGCAGTTAGAACTTCTCTGAGCTCAAAATACTGTCCTTTTTTCACTGAGCACTGAATATAGATATTCCTGTTACAACAGATGTCACTGCAACATTTTCTATATCATGAAGAGATTTTCATATTCCAGCCTTATATAGGTAAATAGTCCAATTAAAAAATGGGCAAAGGACCTCAAAGTTCCTTTGGGCAAAGACTCTTATACAATTGGAAGTTACAAAATAGTCATGATCATGCAAAGTACAGCATAAGGTACATAGTGATACTGTAACAGGTATGGTATCAGGTGAGTGCTTAGACACAATCAGGCGCATCACTTCACAAGTTACATACCGGTAAATGCCTAACCGCTATGCTGTACACCTGAGGTTAATACAATGTTGAATGTCATCTGTAATTGAAAAAAAAACATTTTAATTAAAAATACAATAGAAAAATACCCATACATTGAATAAAAAGATTACTACTTCAGGTTTTCTCAGCTGAATTTTCTTCTCGTGTGAAAACACAAGAGATAACAACTTCATATATTCAAAGGCTCAAAATAGAGAATTCGTGTATTCTTTTGGAAAACACTATTTGCACTGGCCAGGTAGCACAGTTGGTTAAAGCATTGTCCTGGTACACCAAGGCTGCAGGCTCAATTCCCAATCAGAGCACACACTTATATATGCAACAATTGTATAAGTGGAACAATAAATCGATGTCTGTCTGTCTCTGTGTCTCTCTCTCTTTCCCCCTTCCTCTCTCTCCCTCTCTAAAAAAAGTCAATAAAAAGAAAACATTATTTGAATACATATATCAGATAAATTTAAAGATTTTTAAAAAGAACAATATACAGGTTATACATAGTTCATGACATTGCATAAATATTATTAAGGAAGGGAAACTAGGGAAAATGGACCATTTCTAATAGCAGTATTTCCAAGACTCACATCAACCCCATTCTCAATAAACTGGAAAACAGCTAGGTAATTATATAATGCCAGCACTTTTAGTGCCAGGGACTATTTGTATATAATCTCATTTACTCCTCTCTAACAATGTAAGAAAAAGATTATTATCCCCATTTTGGGTGTGGGACAGTAAAATGTGGCCGTATGTACTTGCTCAAGATATTGTGCCTAGTAGGTAACAAAGTCAGGAAGTCGGTTTCAAAGTCTAGTGTTTAACCTCAAGCTCTTCTGCCTCTCACATGACTACAGAGACATACTGGTCATGAGCTGCCTAAGGCTCTGTTCCTTACTGTAGATATCTAAAGTTCTGAGTTTTGTTTAAATAGCACTTTTCATATCTAGGGCTATTGGTTCTAAAGGAAGTTTCTAGGAAATTGACTCAACAGCTAGAAGAGTTCGTGTGTTGCATTCCTCTGTGTTGTGCTTCCAGGTTGTACTCAGTACCCCTTTCTCTCCCTTTCTCTCTGTGTATAGACATAGATATATATAGATATATAGACATATAATAGATATAGGGATAAATATGTATAATATATAGTTACAGTAAATTTTACACAGTTGGAATATAGTTTCAAACTATATTTATGTAATTGCATTATTTGGATTAACTTTCATTTCCTTATATTTTTCCCTTGTGAAAATATAATACAAATAATGCCAGTTTACAAAAAAAAAAAAAGAAAGAAAGAGAAAGAAAGAAAAAAGAATGCTTTATTCACACACTGGACTGGGCTAAATGTGTGCTGAGGACTGTTTACCAAGGACCAACTGATAAATTATACTGGTGTATGAAAATGAACAAGAACGGCCTGAAATAGACTTATGCCTGGCACATTTGGCTGGAAGGTCTGTTTTAGAAGAAAAACCTGAGAGTCACATTACAAGTGTGACTCATGCGTTAGTAACATTTCAAGGCAAGCCACTTAAAATATATCCTGAGTACTGACACTGGAAACGATCTTTTCTTCCATATGCTTTCAAGTGTCTTCCTCTAAGTGTGCATATTTATGACCACGTTTAACACATTTGAATTCTACAAGTACAGCACATGATTATGAGAGTAAATTCTGACCGGAAATCAGACCTGGATTAAAAATCTTAATCTCTACCATTACCTTGGGCAAGTGATTTATTTAATCTTTCTGAACCAGCTTCCTCATTTGAAAAATGGAGATGATCCCTAGCTCAAGGGTCACAGCAAGAATTATGCTGGTCTGATGTCCAAGGTGCCAAGCCTGATTGTATAGCACACGGAAAGGCTCGTTAAATAGGAGGTAGTGGTGAAACGTGTTGGATGGAAACGCAGGCAACCTGTAGCACAGACTTCCTTCCTCCTGTACAATCGCTTACCTGCGTGAGGACTGAGCCTTCAGTTCAGTGCACGCCGTCACCCCAGTCTCCCATTAATTTATCAAACAAGGAGATCTAAAAATTCCAGTCGCATCTTGTTATAAGGACCTGGACTTTTGAACTTGGACAGCCTGACAACTGCTCTTCGATCCACACTCCCGAATCAGTCGCCTGCTTATTTCAGTGATAGGTCTCGTCCGGTGCAGAAGATTCAGTTCGCGCCGAGCTCTCCGTGGGCTTTCGCCAGACGTGGCTGGTGGCTCCGGGTCTCACCTGCCCAGGTGTCCGCTGCGTCCGGAAGGTCCTGGCAGCTGAGGACTACTTAGCTCGGCTTGCGGGGGTCTCGGAGGTCCCAGACCGAGGGCTCCGTTGTCCGCAGTGGCTGCAGCGGCTGCGGCCGGTGCGCGTCTCCCGCCCCGCTCGGCTGGACCGCGGGCCGCGGGGGCCGACGACCGGCGGACGCCTCCAATCACCGCCGGGCGCCACGCCCGCCACGCCCGCGGCGCGGGGAAATAAGAAGTGCGCGCCGGGCGCGCAGGGGAAGCGCTCGCTCGGGCTGCGCTCCCTGGAGTCGCCGACTTGCGCTCAGAACCCCGGCGACCGCGCGGCCATGGCCGGGTCGCGGCAGATCGGCACCTTCGCGGTGTGGGACTACGTGGTGTTCGCCGTCATGCTGCTCATCTCGGCCGTCATCGGCATTTTCTACGCCTTCTGGGGGCGCAGCCAGCAGACCTCCAAGGAATTCCTGACGGGCGGCGGCAGAATGAGCGCCGTGCCCGTGGCGATGTCCCTCACCGCCAGCTTCATGTCCGCCGTCACCGTCCTGGGCACCCCCACCGAGGTGTACCGTTTCGGGGCCGTCTTCAGCCTCTTCGGCCTCACCTACCTCCTCGTGGTGGTCATCAGCGCGGAGGTCTACCTCCCGGTGTTCTACAGGCTGGGAATTACCAGCACCTACGAGGTAAGGGTGCCCTGGTGGGCTAGGGAGGGGGGCGGGGAGACTCGCCAGGTTCCCGAAGCGGGTTTCCAGGTGGCAGACTCGCCGCCACCAAGGTGAGATCTCACCCGGTGCAGGTCCACCTCCGCCCTCCCCTTTCGGGAAGAGGGGTCCCGTAAAGGAGGCAAACATCTTGGGACTGAGCTCAGGACGTCAGTGAAAAAGAGAGGCTTCCAACGTAAATGGAGCGATGTGGACCAGTGCTCGCTAAGGGCCTTTCTGCTTGGATTCCGAGTCAAGAAGAAAGATTTTAAAACGTTTTATCTTGGGGAGGGTAAGCCTGTCTAGTCTCAGCTCCTCCTCCTGGAAATGAATCGCCGTGTCCCAGATGCGCAGGCACCGCTCACCCTTCCAGGATAGCTGGGGAGACGTCTGTACTCCCCTTCCGCCCTTCACACCCACCCCTTCCAGAAAGGGGCAGGTGCTCCAGTTACGTTGCCGTATCTCTCCTCCCAGTACTTGCTTTTGAGGCCAGCTTCTACCACTTACTAGTTGTGTAACTCAGGCGACTTAACCTTTTGTGCCTACTTCATCTCAAATCTCAACGTGGAAATAAGGATGCCACCCACCTCACCCAGTGGTTGGGAGGATTAAAAGGTGTGATGCAAGTGTAGCATTTAAAACTGTCCGGCGCAGCGTTGGTGCTGAATAAATGTTGGCTGTAAGTATTGGTGTTGTGGTGGTAGAGGTGGTCATTTTGGGATCACTAGGCAAATTGGGCTGTGAGGTTCTTAAACAGCTCTGTCTTCTCTATGGAAAGATGCTTAAAGAAAACTGACTTTCCTATTGCACAGGTCCACTGGTTATAGGTTTTCTCAAGTTGTTTGCAGGAAAGGGCTTTGCAAAGTTGGTGAATGTTTGGTTTAGTTTAGAATGTTTGGTTTATTTATTTCTTAAAAATTTTTAAAGTTTTTATTTATTTATTTTTAGAGAGAAGAGTAAGGAGGGAGAATGAAAGGGAGAGAAACATCTATGGGAGAGAGAAACATTGATAGGTTGCCTCTTGTACGGGGCCCCAACTAGGAACCAGACCTGCAACCCAGGTGTGCTCCCTGAGCGGCAATCCACCCGGCAACCTTTTGGTTTGCAGGATGATACCCAAGCAACTAAACCATACCGGTCAGAGCTGGTTTAGTTTGCAGAGCTGTTGAATGGGAGTGTTGGGGAAAGATAAAAGCTCAGGGGAGTGCTGGGGTCCAGCTCAGTGCCCTCAGTAGTCTCCTTCATCCAGGCACTAATCATTGGCACACACACAAATCTATATAGGTTTCCTCTCTAATAGGCCATTGTACAGAGGACCCAGAGTCTCATTCTCAGTGGCAGTTGCCTCTGTCCTTGAACTTATATAGTGCTTGCTCCAATCCAGAGTCACTGGAGTTGGTTTCCTAGTAAGGCTGGTTTAATTGGTGCTGTGGACAGGGTCCCAATGGCACAGCAAGTGTTAATGACAAACTACGTGGGTTGTAGGGATGTCACCCAGGGCAAGGCACCTTGGGGACAGCATTGCTTTCCTCTGGTCATTGGGTTTGGGAGCCTTCAGTTATCACCCTAGAAGTGAGCAGGATGGAATTTCTGTTTTGCACAAAAGTAACCAACTGGCTGCCCCAGGCCATAGTCAATATTCAATCCTGTTTTCCCACACACACTTATGGTGTTTTGAAAAAAATAATTTAGCACTGAATGATGGTAGAAGTCAAATAAAATCCCAGATCTGGCTTCTTTTGAAAACCCTCAGTACTGGTGACACGGAGCCCACATCCTAAGTGGCCACAAAAACACCAGTTTATAGCCATTGCTGTCACCCCCTGGTTCCATACTAAGGACTCATCCGTGCATTTGTATCCATTCCATTTGTATTGGGAAATAAATCCATGCATTTACTTTCTTGTTCTAGAGAAATTTTCATCAGCATTTGTCTTCATCAAAAAATCAAAAGGAAAAATGGAGAGGGATGAAGGGAGTTATTGTTTCAAGGGAGCCATGGGACCTGCAGGCATTTGAGTCTGTGAGCTCTGATTGTGTAGTTAACCAACACCAAAACTCAAAAAGAGTTTGAAGAATCTGGCAAGAGGACTTCAGTTCTCACAGGTGAATGCTGCTCTCATAATCACTGACCCGTGCAGCAACTTAACCAGAAACAGATTTCCCACACATTTCCAGAGTGGTGGAGACTAAGTTAGCAGGGTTCCAGCTAACACTGGCCAAAAAAAAAAAAGCAAAACAAAACACGAACGTTTACCGACTATTACTACATGCTGAGCACTGGCTGTATGTTTTACATACATCATCAAACTCAGTCCTCAGAACAATCCTTGTAAAGGAGGTTCTATGAGAGCCGCATTATGCAGGCAAAGAGCCTCAGAGCAAATCAGGCTACATCAGAGAGTGTAAAGCAAAGTAGACACCCGCCTAAAGGCTGTGCAGTGGGGCGTATTGGCTGCTTCTGAAGGCTCTAGTGAGTCTTCTAGAGGAATATTTCATTTTATGGTGAGAGCTGGAGCCACCCATGCAGAATAAGAAGTCTCAAGTATAAAATCTCTCCCTATTTCTAGTTTGTTAGCTAAAACCAGCTGTTCAGAAGCATTTTTGACATCTACTTATCACTGCCTTCAGAGTATAGCCCTCGTAGGAGTTCCACAACTTCCAGACCCACAGATAAGAAGTAAAATGCAGGAATGTAATTTCTTCATCACTTCTTCATTATCTTTCTGGATCCAGCGAAATCTGTTTGAATGGAATCATCCAGGCTGTTTTAAAAAATAATTCAGTAGAAGTTTTAGTGTCTCTAAATTATTCAAAGTTCTGAGGACTATGGCAGATCTTGGTTGACCAGCGGCACCTACTGTTATTCTCTAGTTTTGTCTGGAAATCCTAGAGCTATTTTCTCAACATACTTCTCAGTGACTTGGGCTCCTGGAAGGTCTCCAGGTATTTCTTTAGCAGCCAAGTAATCACCAATAGCTGAGATAGTGTGATAGACTTCTTGGTTCTACCTGGAGTTGGTCTTGTGTGAGCTTAAGTCCATAGGTCTGCCTGGATCCAGCTGACATTGGGGGAGAAATAAACTTCATTGAACCAAGTTACTTGGCTCAACTTGCTATGTACATTCAATTACTAGGTTGCAATGTTGGGGTTCTCTCTGAGCCCAGTGTCCTCGTGTGCTTATACTTAGTACCTGCTCATGGAGTTGTTGAGAGGACGGTGTACAAAGCAAATACTTTATACTTCTGCTTTTTAAATGTTAGCTGTGATTGTGAAGTGAAAGTATCCTTTTTCCCCTTTGATTAGTATCTAATGTTAGTTTTTTCTTTCTTCTTTTTTTCTGCTATCTGAAAAGATTATTGTTATCAGTCTTAAAATTCTCTCTACATGTAGTAATAACAATTTAAGTTAAAGAATGTCTTAGACTCCAGCTTTCTTCTGGCTCTGAAATTCTAGGATTGTAGCTCTTTAATGCATTCTGATGTGTAATATAGGTAGAGCAGACTATATTACAAATATCATGGATGTCAAGGGGAGGAGGAAGAATGGCAAGGTTGCTGGTTCGGAACAAAAATCGACTTTGGTTGATTTAAGTTAAAAATTATTGGAAAGATATGGGAGTAGCTCATATAATGGAGAGAAAAGCGGAACAGACTGAAAAGTCAGAAGTCAGGGCAGCCTCTGAGGCCACTCTGTCAGAATCAGTCTGCTTCTGCTCTAGTCAAATTTTTTCTTTACATCTTGTCTCTTAAGATTCAAATGCTGCCCTGGCTGGTATAGCTCAGTGGATTGAGCATGGGCTGCGAACCAGAGGGTTGCTGGTTCAATTCCCAGTGAGGGCACATGCCTGGGTTGTGGGTCAGGTCCCCAGTGGGGGTCACATGTGAGGCAGGCACACATTGATGTTTCTCTTCCATTCTTTCTCCCTCCCTTCCCCTCTTTCTAAATAAAAATCCTTGGTCAGTTCATCAAAAACCCACAAGAAGAGCTGGGAAGAGAAGCTGATGAGGCCAGGCACTTTGACAATTCTATCACAATTGCCTTGCAGTGGGAATGGACTGATTTGCTAAGTGAATCAGGGGAACTGTACGGAGTAGCTACGTAAATAGCAAGAGCAAGGGGAGAACTTTGCTCATTCTAAAGATGCAGAGAATAATTTCATTTATATGACATCCTGGAAAAGGCAAAACTAGGGTTGGAAAACAGATCAGTTCATTGCCAAGATTGATGGATTAGAGGAGGGTTTGACTACAAAAGAGCAGCATGAGGGAGTTTTCCGGGTTAGGGAACTGTTCTGTATGTGTTAAATCTCATTGAACTGTACTCTAAAACAAGAGTCTGTTTTGCTGTTTGTAAATAAAAATAATAGTAAAGCAGAAATAGAAAACGCAAATTAATTATGAACTTCAACTTTCTCATTCCTTCACTTCTTAAGCTGCAATATTATTTCTTTTAAAAAAAGAGTGTCCAGAGGTTTTACATATAGCCAATTTTCCTTTTTTTTTTTGGAAACAGTATTTAGAACTTCGATTTAACAAATATGTTCGTCTCTGTGGAACAATCATCTACATTATTCAAACAGTAAGTAGCTCTCCATTAGTTTATTTTACCTTTTGTCATCTATGATGTTTTTAGTCAGGGCATCTGGGCCAAGCTTCCTTTTTGGTAAACACATGAAAGATAGAAAAGATGTTGAAAATAGGAGGAAACAAAAAAAGGAAGAACACTGTCACTACACAGTGTTAATCCTTCAGATCCCTGGACAGTGTTTCAACAAATGGATTTCCTCCTGGGGAAAAAATGATTTAAGTGAACGGTAAGTGTTGTATTGGTCAAGTGACAAGTTGTTGTAGGAAAATAGGCTTTTGCCTATCCCCCCTCCCCACCAAAGAGACAGTAAGGGCATTGCTGAGATGACAAAGATTTTTGAAAGAGCTGTATTAGCCCATGAATTGTAACAAGGAAAAATAAGTTGCATGTTTTGTCGTATTTTCGCAGCATGTTAAATAACAGGTTTGAAAAAATTAATTGATGCAGGAAGACATTAGGAAACAATTTTCTTTGAAAGAATACTTAATGAATCTGTTCTCTCTTTTAAAAATTGAACCTTGAGACCCAATTAAAGCAGTCACTGAGGGTCAAACAATAGAACCATACATTCTGGAGGTGTTTTGAAAGCCAAGTACACAATACAGTAATTTGAGAATGTACAAGTATAGATTTACTGTCTGGCACAATGGAAAGCAAAGACTTGCCAGCAGTCAGCGCCAGAGAATGCTTCCCACCCTTCATTCAGGCTGTTGGAGGCTTGTCCTGATCACTGACACATGACTTATATCTATCTTCCTCTTGGCAGTTAGGTGCTGTAGGGATGGTTTTGGTAATGAAAGTCTAGGAAGAAGTTTTCATTCTTATCTTTATTCACAATGGTATTTCTCCAGTCGACAGCTAACTAAGCATTTGCTAAAGCACAGCAGAGTATCTTTGTAAGTTATGTAGTTCGACTCCATTTTTTATCTTTGTGAATGACACTACTTAAATTATATCAGCTCATAACACCTGTGGTATGCAAGGAAGGAGCCACTGGGATTCTGGTAGACTTTCTGACGTAGAGCCGAGGCCAGTGCGTGTATTTGCTGACTGCTCAGACCCTCTTTGGATCATTGCTGGAAAGGGCAACAGGAATGAAAAGTGTTCAGATGGTGGCCGGTGGTCATGTTTCAAGTCTACTTGGACAGAAGAGTGACTGGAAAGCTAATTTACTCATGCAGAAAGGAGGAGCTTTAGCATCTCCCATATGAAGGACTTACTTTCAATACTACCCAAAAACGTTCTTTGCATAATATGGTTCTTTTCATAGTGTTTGTATAGAGTAATCATAGAATTAGCTTCTATGTGATATAGTTCAAATGTCAAGAGCAATGGAAATGATATTTTGAGAAAAAAAGACCTTACTTATTCACTATTGTACTGCAGATTAATAAATATTTATTAAATGTAGAAATGAACAAAATAAATAATATCAAAAAGGCGGAATATAGTTTTGGTTGGCTTTCATGAGTTTTTAGAGCAAATTTACACTTTTTTAATTAATGGGCCAGCAAACTTTTACAAACCAGTTTCTAAATTTTCACTGTTTTCTTAATTTATGCATCTGAACACTTTTCATTCCTGTTGCCCTTTCCAGGATTTTTGATTAACAATAGCTTGAAGGCATATAAATGAGGGACCATCCACATTTAAATTTGTATTCTTTCTTTCTAATTGTTTTAGACATAGGAATATTGGTTTCTAGCTTGAGTTGATGGATCAGTGACTATCTCTACTAAGCACCACATGAAAAGTCCATATTTTTACACAAAATTGGTTATAAAGGATTTTTGTAATCTATGATTATACCACAGATGGAAAAGGATAATCACCTTAAATAATATTTTCAAGTTATAAACACATTTTATTAAGTATATCAAACTGCTGTTTTAATTTATAATTAAATTTGTAGAAAAGTATTGATATTTTATAATTCATATTCTTTACTTGGTCTTCTTTTTTTCCTCTCTAGGTTCTATATACTGGAATTGTTATTTATGCCCCTGCCCTGGCTTTGAATCAAGGTACTTTTTAGAGTTAAACAAATTATGTTACATTTAGGGTTCATTTTTGATAGACTTTATTTTCTGGGGAGATGGAGGAATGCTTCCAGTAACCTGCATCAGCTTGAGGCGGGAAAAGTGGGTTCAGTGTCTACACTAGCAGTTTCCTTGGGTTCCTGAATCCATAGCTCTGAAAGTTTTGTTCATTTTTAGGATAGATCTCACTAAGCAAGTGAGTCCCTGAGACATTGCCATTCTCCATTCCTTCAGAACGAGCGCCCCCTGTAGTCTAAATCGTGAACGACTGCTTCTTCCCTTTGTGGTTACAACCTGGAACCCATCTACAAGACGCTTTTTTTTCTGTTTGGCTCAGTTGCTTTGTAAAATCTGTCAGGGAGAGAAGCTGTTCTTCTCCTCACTTGTAATGTGGTCCGAAAAGCAAAGTAAATAGATCTATGTGATTTGAATATCAGACTACTACTACTGGCAAAAAACAGATGGCTATAGGGTCCTTATAAACAGATGTATGAAGGTTGCGCTGATCAACACATTACTGTTCTCTGTGGTTTAGGCGGATCATACCTGTGAAACTGGGACAGTTTATTGAGGCATAGGTTCATGTTAGTCATATTCTCAACAGGTTTCAGGGAAACTCCACAGCCGTTGGATTCTTATCAATCAGAAGATAAGAATCAATTTACCTCTATCAATTTACCTCTAAAACTTCCTTGTGAAATTGACAAATTGACTCTGGGATGGGAAGAATATGGTGCAATTCCTGGAGTTCATAGAAAATGAAAAAACCTAGCTAACTCCATACTTTAATTTTTTTTTCATGACAGATCAATAGATAGTAGTTATCACCCAATTTTATAAAGTACATCACAAACAACTCTATTATATAATGTGCTCTTGACTTCTGAATGTTAGGCGTGGTTCATGTCAATAGTACCAGCATCGTAAAGGAATCATTTCACATGTAAAAAACTGAGCTATAAACTTCATAAGTTACCTATTGGCTTTAAGCATTAGTGAAGATTTTTGGCTTTAGGGTTTTAAAGTGCAGTTTTCATGTGCAGTTCTGGGAAAAAGAGAGCAGTACCTCACCAAGCACTCCGCTCTTACCAGTTGATTGAGCAGCTCCTCTGGAATCAATGAGCACCCGAGCGACTGCGTTTTGACTGCTTGAGTATCAGTTGTGTATTTCACAGCGACCAAGGTGGTTGTCACAAACATAGACATATTCCTTGCTACACCACAGGTGCTCCGTGGAAACTTGTTTAACTGAATTGAAACTTCGTTGTATTTAAAACATTAATATCTCATTTTTTGTCCAGCAGGAGTCTCATTAAGTTGTCTCTTGAATCCAAGTAGTGTTTAATAGCTACCTTGCTTTCTAGAACAGCAAGATGTTTCAGTTTTACCTTGTAAATTTCCTGGCCCTGCCCAGGCATCAGCTATTCTTTCCAAGGAGAAATTGTATTTAGAGACCACAACCTAAATGTCAGAGGTATTCATCGCTAACGAGTTGCTCATTTGTTCTAGGTCTTTTTAGTGGAAGGAACTGGGAGATGTATATTAAAGAAAAAAAGTGAATGAAGAGTTTATACTAATATTTTCAATTTTTAAATTCAAACTTGGGATTACAGGGTGTTTGCCTAACAATTTGGGTTTATATTTTGTCTCGTATTTTATGCTGAAACTCCTGTTGTTTTAAAAATAATATTAACGAGACTATCTATTTTCTTTATGCAAATCTATCGACATGTATTGTGTTCTCAAGCTTGGCTGCATGTTGGATCCATCTGGGGAATTTTTAAAAACTACTGATGCCTAGCTTTCACTTCTTGAGATACTGAATTAATCAGCAGAGTCACGGATTTTTAAAATCTTCTCTGGTGATTTTAATGTACAAAGCTGAAAACCACTAATGTAATAGCTTTTGATTAGCAATTTCAACATTTTTACTAATAAAATGTAGCCCAAAACAGTTAAAATTTATTACTCTAAAGTTTTTTCCCTAGGGTGTATCCCAGTAGGGATATATATGAAATTATTGTGCATTAAAGTCTTTTGACCTATTTCTCTGTGGTTATATAAAAAAATTGATATATACCTACACTCATTTATTTCATTTTCACTTTGATTTTTAGGAGCTTTTAAATTTAATTTTATAATTATGTAGAACATTTACATGGTTCCAAAGTCCAGTCTACAAAATTGAATATGTTTAGAGAAGCCTAATTTATATCACAGTCTCTCCTACCCTGTTCCCCCTCCCCACAGGTAATTTTATATCTTTTTTTTTATTTATCCTTCCTTTGTAAAAAAGTATTTATGCTTTTTTAAAGATAATTTTTAGAGTCATTTTAGGTTTCAACAAAATTGAGAGGAAGGTACAGAGATTTTCAATATACCAACTGCCCCGCCCATGCCTAGATTCCTCCATTGTCAATGCCACTGAGCAGAGTGCATTTGTTATCCAGAACGAATCTACACTGACATGCCATAATCACTCAAAGTCCACATTTCCCTTAGAGTTCGTCTTGGTCTGTACCTTCTGTGGGTTTGGACAAATGTGTGATGACATGTATTTGTCATCATAGTATCATACAGAGTATTTCTGCTGCTCTAAAAATTCTGTGTGCTCCGGCTGTTCAGCAAGAACTATCCCCTCCTTCAGCAAGCACTACTTTTTCCATAGTTTTGCCTTTTTCAGAAAGCATACAGCTGGAATCATGCAGTATGTAGTCTTTTCAGACTGGCTTCTATTACTTAGTAATACTCATTTAAGGTTCCTGCATGTTGTTGCCCTGGCTGGGTAGCTCAGTTGGTTAGAGCATCACCTGATACACTAAGGCTGCAGGTTTGATCTCCAATCAGGGCACATACAAGAAGCAACCAATAAATGCATAAATAAGTGGAACAACAAGCTGATGCCTGTCTGTCTCTCTCTCTCTGTCTCTCTCCCCCTCCCTCCCTCTCCCTCTTCTCTCTCAAATAAAAAAAGAAAAAAGGTTCCTGCATGTTGTTTTGTGACTTAATAGCTTATTCCTTTTTCATGTTGAATACCATTCTATTGTCTGGATGTTCCACAATTTACTTATCCATTACCCTCCTCAAGGACATCTCAATTGTTTTCAAGTAGTGGCAGTTCTGAATAAAGCCTCTATGAACATACGTGTGTAGGTTTTTGTGTGGGCATAGTTTTCCACTCCTTTGGGTAAAAACCAAGGAGCATGATTGCTGGACTGTACAGCAAGAGTATAGTTTTATAAGAAACTGACAAGCTGTCTTTAAAAATGGCTATTACTATTTTACATTTTCACCAGCAACGTGTGAAAGAATTATGTTGCTCCACACCCTCGTCGGTGTTTGGTGGTGTCGGTGTTCTAGATTTTGACCATTCTTTTAGGTGTGTACTGGTGTCTGGTTGTTTTAATTGGCATTTCCCTGATCACACATGATTTGAAGGATAGTTTCCATCTATATAGCTTCTTTGGTGAGATGTTTGTTAAAATCTTTGGCCTATTTTTGAATCGGGTTGTTTTCTTAACATTTAAGAGATTTAAGACTTTTAAGAGATTTTTTTGGTATATTTTTTATAACAGTCCTTTATCATTTGTTTGTTTGTTTTTTTTCCAAATGTTCTCCCAGTCTGGATCTTGTCTTCTGATTCTCTTGATACTGTTTTTTTCTAGAGCAGATATTTTAAATTTTATCGAAGTCTAAATGATCAATTATTTCATTCATACATTGTGTTTTTGGTGTTGTATTTATAAAGGCATCACCACGTGCTAGGTACTTTATTTTTCCCCTTTGTTATATTCTAGGAACTTAATAGTTTTGCATTCTACATTTAGGCCTATGAGCCATCTTAATTTAATTTTGGTGAAGGGTGTAAGTTCTATGTCCAGAGTCATGTTTTTTTTGCCTGTGATGTCCAATTGTTCCTCACCATTTATTGATGAAACTGTCTTTGCCCCATGGTAATGTCTTTGCTACTCTGCCGAAGGTCAGTTGACTATATTTATGAGGTTTATTTCTGAGCTCTCTGTTCTTCTTTTCCACTGATCTACTTGTCTGTTTTTTTGCCAGTACCACACTGCCTTGATTACTGTAGCTTTGTAGGAAATCTTCAGGGAGGGTCACTTTTCCAGGTTTCTTCTGCTCCTTCAATATTGTGTTGGCTATTCAGAGTGTTTTGCCTCTCCACAAAACTATGAAATCAGTTTGTTTATTCTACATAGTTATAAACAAAATAACTTGATGGTATTTTGATTTGGATTGCATTGCGCTTATAGATTAAATTGGGAAGAACTGACATCCTAATAATATCCAGGCTTTTTATCCATAAACATGGAATATTTTTCCATTTATTTGATTCTTTCATTTTATTCATCAGAATTTTGTAGTTTTCCTCATATAGATATTATATGCATTTTGTTAGATTTTTAGCCAAGTATTTTAGTTTAAGTTTTTTATTTTATTTAAGTATTTTAAATATTTTATTTTGGGGTGCTAATATAAATGGTAATATGTTATTTTGAGAGTTTAAAAACAAAATTAATGAAATATTAACTTCATGTAAAAATTAAAAAATTTCAGTCTTTGACAATTGCAATTCAGCTTAAAGGTGCAGAAAGGGAGCCAAGAAGAAAGTGGTCGATCCATTCTCTAAGAAAGATTGGTATGGGGTAAAAGCGTCCACAAAATTCCACTTGTTTATTGTTGGTATACGGGAAAGTCGTTGACATCTGTATATCAACCTGTATCCTGCAACCATGTGATAATTCCTTACTCGGAATTAGTTTCAGGAGGTGTTTTATTGATTCTTTCAGATTTTCTATTTAGATGATCATGTCATCTGTGAACAAAGAAAGTTTTATTTCTTTCTTCCCAATCTGTGTACCTTTTATTTATTTTTTCTTGCTTTATTGTATTGGCAAGGACTTTCAGTATGACAGTGAAACACAGTTTTTGCCTTGTGCCCAGTCTTAGTGGGAAGGCTTCCATTTTCTCACCATTAAGTATGATGTTAGCTGTAGGTGTTTGTAAATAATCATTATCAAGTTGAGGAATTTCCCCTCTATTTCTAGTTTACTGAGAGTTTTTATCATAAATGGGCTTTGGGTTTTGTCAAATGCTTCTTCTGCATCTATTAGTATGATAATATAATATTTCTTTTTCTTTCTTGGCTTATTGATGTAATGAATTTCATTATTTGATTTTCAGATATTGAACCAGCCTTGCATATGTGGGATAAATCCCACTTGGTCGTGGCATATCATTCTTTTTACACTTTTATGATTTGATTTGCTAATATTTTGTTGAGGACTTTTGTATCTTTGTTCATAAGAGTATTGGTCCGTAGTTTTCTTTTCTTGTAATGTCTTTTTCTGGTAATGCTGGCCTCATAGAATGAGTTGGGACCAATACTCTTCTCCTCTGAAAGACATTGTAGAGAGTTGGTATAATTTTTTTCTTAAATGTTTGCTAGGATTCACCGGGAACCTATCCGAGCTGAAGCTTCCTGTTTTGGAAGATTGTTAGTTCAATTTCTTCAGTAGATATAGGTCTATTCAGATCACCTATTTCTTCTTGTGTGAATTGTGGCAAATTATGTCTTTCAAAGAATTGGTTTACTATCAAGTTTGTGGCCATAGATTCATTCTTCTATTTTATAAAATATAATATGCCCCTCCACTACTTAGATAGGTGTCAGCAGGTTTTTCGGCTTTTCTCTCTCTCAGTCCCATTTTAGGAAGGTGCACAACTTGTCTGTCAGGGATTGGGAGGAGACTGTGTTTACTGGAACCATGATGACAAGTACCCTCGGTCTCCATTCAGTCTAGATAGGTACCTCATAGTATTAAGCAGTTTCTTAGTTTAATTACAATGTAAATATTTTTTCATGTATTTCATTTAGCCAATTTTAGATCTATGTATGGGTAGATACCAGGTCTATTTAACTCATCAAATAGAATTTTAAACTCCAATTGTTTCAGTACATCTTATGAGACTTGGGTCTACTTTTAGGCAAGTGGGTATAAAGGTAGGTACCCAATAAATGATACAGCTTCCCCCTGAAGATTTTTTTCGAGAAGTACTTTTATTATGTATGTTTCACAGTTATACATGCATTTTCTTTTCTTCAACAGTCACAGGATTTGATCTGTGGGGTGCGGTGGTGGCCACAGGGGTGGTCTGCACGTTTTACTGTACACTGGTATGTTCACAACATTCCTTCTCCCTTCGCTCTGCACACTTGCTTTGCAAACTTGAAAATTCTAGTAGCTGGGCACTCCAGTCTGGGCTGTTGACACCTACTCTCCTACCTTCCACAATATAATTTTTTGTAAGGAATATTCAACCTGGGGTAAATTGTAGAACAATTTACCTTTGTAGAACATTAACCATAACTGAAAATGCTTTCTTTCATCTGAACCATGCAGTGGTCTCTAATCTTGTCTCCTAATTCATCCTTACTGTTGCCAAGTTATTATGTAGCTGTGCATATATTATTTCTCAGGTCAGAAACCTGAGATAACTTCTCGTCACATTTAGGAACAGGCAAAATGTTGAAGAACCAGTATGATTTGGGCACTGATACTCCCAGTGCATGCTTGGCAGTGATGCAAGTCTTATGGACTCTGATAGTCTGGATTTTAACCCTTTAATTGCTAGATCTTCACAGCGGTGTCAAACTTCTTTTCACTGGGGGCCACATCAGTCTCATGGTTGCCTTCAAAGGGCTGAATGTAATTTTAGGACTGTGTAAATGTAACTACCCCTTAACAGTTAAGGGAGAGCTCCAAGGTGCCGAGCCAGATAAAACACGGTGGGAGACCAGCTTTGGTCCACAGGTCTTGTGTTTGCCACATGTGTTTTAGGAGATAGATCTTCAAGGAGGGGCAGTGGCAGTCAAAGTCAAAGGGACTGGAGGGGGACACTTAGGACTTTTGTGGCAGTGGCGAAGACAAAACTATGTTAGCATTTCAACAATTGGTATGACCGTGTGTGCATGTGGCTTGAAGAGCAGCCCTGCCTATAGGATAAAGTCTCTGATATCCCTGTTTACCACTTTACTCTGCATTTTTTGCCCAACAGTCTCTTCATGCCACTCCACTTCATTCCAAAATATGCTTTGACCTGTCTATGCTTTCGCCTGTGTTGTTTTCTCTGCTGCAAGGACCTTCCATCGCTGCCTCTTGTGTGTTTGAAGGTTTGGCTTAAACACCACCTTTTCCCGAAGGCTTTCCCACCCTACCTCCCTTGAGTGCACTTCCTGGCCAAGATCCATGTATTCAATACATTTGTGCAGTATAATGTGTAAGCATGTAGGTCTTAATAATGTCTGACGGAACATTAACCCTACTACACTTTCCCCTCAAAGGGTGGTCTTAAGGCGGTTATCTGGACGGATGTTTTCCAAGTCGGGATCATGCTGGCAGGGTTTCTGTGTGTGATCATACAAGCCTCAGTGGTTCAAGGTGGGATCAGCACTATCGTAAACGATGCCTATAATGGTGGAAGATTAAACTTTTGGAAGTAAGTTGCTATTTACATCTTAATTAGAATATTTTTGGGTTTTTTTTTTCTGTAAAAATCTCTGTATTGAAATAGTAAGTTTGCATTAGAAAACACACACTCACACACACACACACACAACACCACTAAGGATGTGATACAGAAATTTGAAGCTGGCAAGTCAGTGTGGAAGGACTTGTTGCCAGGTCTCTAAAGGGTTAAGACAGTCAGGTGTACTTAGTCCCATGACACTTAGGCTGGGGCTTCCTCCTGAGAAGGGACTGGCAGTGAAAGAGTATTTTCTTTCTGACCGTCAAGTCTGGGTTAGGTCGAAGAGACCGGTGGGGTGATAAAGGAAGAGATAGTGGAGAAATAAGGAAGGAAACCTTTTAAGAGAAAAACACTAAAGGACGGTGATTCTGTTTTGAGAGTTCATTGTTTCAAGTAGCCTGGATAATTTTTTAAAAATATTTATGTTGCCATGGCAATATATCACTTATTATTATGTTATTATGCCATATATTATCATTATATATTATCATGCCATCTATATAATATGTAAATAGAACTATGTAATCTGCAGTGTAAACTATTATATGTTATTTCAGGAAAATTGAGTAGAAAAGGAAAGGCCGGTACTCGAGTGTCAGCATGGCTCATGATATAAGGGATTAAACAGCTGCGCAGTTTTCCCAGAGAGACTAATGGAGAAACGAGATATTTCACCACAAATACATCATCCAATTTAAGTGGATGTTTAAAACACCTTTCCTTTTGGGCCATCAGTGTCACTCTCGTACATCATGTTCAATGTGAAGAAGGGCTCATTTTACATGGCACAGCTAATTCTTCTTTAAAAAAAAAAGATTTTATTTATTTATTTTTAGAGTGAGGGGAAGGACAGGAGGAAGAGAGGGAGAGAAACATCAGTGTGTGGCTGCTTCTCACGCACAGTCCACTCGGCACTCAGTCCTCTGAGCCATACCAGCCAGGGCAGCTCATTCTCTCTTTGTGCAGCTCGACTTTGAGACAGGCATGCTGACATTATCTCAAGAGGAAAAATGTTGTTTTGCCCTTGGTGGCTCTCTTCTTGGCTTTCTGAAAATTGGCCCTAATGTTTGGAAAGAACTTTTTCATAAATTGAACAGGGTCATTGTGTTCACTTGCGTGGGTGCGCTACAGAGAAATCGACTGTTTTCAATATTTCTTTTTCCTTCTATCTCAAGATTCAGATTCAAGGAAGAGAGCCTCCAATTGGCCACGAGTGGCCATGACTGCGGCACTTAGCTAGGATAGAGCAGGACACGTTGATTGACAGCCATTTAGACTATTTATTGGTGAAGTGGCAGTTTCCCCAGAGCAAACCTGGGTTGCTGATACCAGCAGGGAGGAATGGGTACAGGAAGCAGTGACAAACAAGCAAGCAAAATAAAAACAATGACATTGAAATAGAGAACGGGGGACAGTGACCAGAGGGGAGAGGGGAGGGAATTTCAGGGGAAAAAGAGGAAGGATTTACAGGAACTAGTATAAAGGACACATGGACAACAACTAAGGGGGGTGGAAATGGGAGGGAGGTGGGGGGCACAGGGGGGTGGGCTGGGATGGGAGTAAAAGACAGAAAATACTGCAGTTGAAAAATAATTAAATTTATAAATAAATAAATAAATAAAAGGACACATGGGCAATAACAAGGGGGGTGGAAACAGGAGGGAGGTGGGGAGGGTTGGGGGTGGGCTGGGATGGGGGTAAAAGGCAGAAAACTGTACTTGAACAATAATTAAAATAAAAGTTAAAAAATTAAAAAAAAAAAAAAAAGAAGCAGTGACCACTCAGGAGACCTTGAGTGCTCCCAAGTCTCTTCCTACCAGGCTACATTGAGGGGAGAGGATGTGAAACCAACCATTTTTCTGCAAGACAACAGTCACCTTATAAAAAGGATAAACTCATTGCCACATCGAATTGATAACTTACACATCAAGATGGGATTCTAAAAAGTAAAAGATTAGTATTTAAATGAGTTTACTTTGAAGGTTGCCAAGCAATTAAATAATAATGAAATACCTTATTAACTTTTCCTTGTTATGCAGCTTTGTTTTAAGAATATTGTAGGTGAGAGATCTGCTCTGGTTGAGATACATGAAGAGAAGGATTCTTGTCTCAGTGTTTTCTGTATAGGCTGTAGTTGACACATGGCTCCTGTGTGGCCTAAAATCTCTGAGTTGGGTGTTCTGAAGCTTGTATAGCCTCACAGAGCTCACCAAACGTATTTGGCTTTTGGCTTCCATTAGCTAATATAGCAGTTGCTTTCTCTGTGGGAGGAAAGGTCAACAACCCTCCAAACTCTTAGACTTTGGTGTTAAAGGTTAGAATATGGAACGAAGGTTCTCATCTTTTCACTGGAAGATGCACAAAATTGGAACATTTTACTCAAGTGATTTGAAACAAATTTTCAGAATTTTATAATGTCCAGGAAGTTTCCATGAAAGCTAATATCGCATACATTTTTCAAGCTGGCATTATGTATCAGCAAGGAAGAGATTCATTCCTTCCAAGGTGATATATTAAGAAGGGTTAAACAACGTCTTAAATGTGGAAGTTGACCTTTCTCTGTAACAATATTTGGTACATGTCATACAGAGACTTTCAACTTTTAGTATTTATCTAGTGCACACAGTATTTTAAGAAAGCACAATTATTGTGGCATGGCAGTTTTAGGACACAAACACTTTTATACTATTAATTGACTGAATTCTTAAGCTTAAATATAAATTAGAACTATATACATGTGCTAAAATGGGATTTCCCCATTCCCATCCAGAATTCCCAATTCTCTGAAAGTATCAATTTTATTTTGTTGAACTTACATTAGGAATATTTCTTCATTTTACAATTACTTAATAAATTTGTACCTATGTATGTATATATATTTATGTAAGTACACATTGCTTGCTTCTGAAAATAGTCTGGGGGGATTTTTATAGTTTATTTTCCCAGTAGTTCTGATTTGTTTTCTCTTTGTTTTCATTTAGTTTTGACCCCAACCCTTTGCAAAGACACACGTTCTGGACAATTGTGATAGGAGGGACCTTCACATGGGGCAGTCTTTATGCTGTCAACCAGTCCCAAGTGCAGAGATACATTTCCTGCAAAAGCAGATTCCAGGCAAAACTGTAAGCCAAATGATGGTATATGTATCGTTAATAACAATGAACTGACTTTATGGGAACTCTTTCATAAGTCAGACTTACGTTTGCTTAAGTTTGCGTTTTGAATGATGAAATTCCAACAGGTGCACGATATACTTATGAAAGGATGAATTAGAACGAAGTGGTACTCTATGTTTCAAATAAGATATTTAAAAACATTTGCATAATTAGTAAGGAAAACAAGTCTTGTCAAACAAATAGGTATTTATTGTGCATCTGCACAAGGAGGTATGGGGAAAATTATAAATACATGGCTCTTGTCATGAAGTAACTTAGCAGCAAGTTAGGAAAATATACTTCAGTTTGTAAAAAGTGAAATACCACTAGAGAGGCACAACAGCTTCGGGAAACACTGTGATAACAGGGAAGGTGCTCCAGAGCATAATATCACCAGAGGTGCTGGTGTGTTTTATTTTCCAACAGTCATGGGCTTATAACTGTGTTCTAATACTTGCTAGTTGAGTGATCCCGGGCGAGTTACTTAGTCTCTCTGAACTTCAGTTTCTAAACTTGTAAAATGAGCATGAGAAACATCATACACCCCGTGGGAGGTGCTGTAAAATACTGTGTTCCATGTGCAGATGGTCAGCGTCCAATAAATGTGAACCCTCTTCCACCTCGAATCACAGGATGTGAATCCTGACTGAGACATTCCTATCAGCCAGGCAGATCCTAAAGAATGATCACATGCGGGCAGGGGAAAGAGTAAGAGAGCCTTCCGGGTAAGCAGAGTAATTTGGACAAAGCGTAGAGATCGGGAGGACAACACCGTCGGAGAACTCTCAAGCCCGCTCATTGGCCTGAGGAAGGAGTCTGGTCAGTGGCCGGTTCTTCCTCAGGAGGCCTCAGATAAGCATGGTGACTACCACTTCCCTTGTTGGCAGGTGAGGCTGGCCCAGCCCACAGGTACTAAAAACTCCAAATATATTAAGAGTAACAGAGTGACTGGAATAGGAGAAGGAGTGGCAATTTTATTTCTGTTCTAAGGAGAACATGAAAATGTTGGGATGTCACATGTCAGACCTCAATATATTGAGAGTACATGGGTTCAACATTGTCTTTGGAAAAATCCCGCAGTAAAAAGTCTACATGAACATGAGCACAATACCTGGGCAGGCAGTCCCCAAAAGCGAGCTGAAGAGTTTTAGTATTTTAAGGAACTCTGAAGGAATGTCATTTCTCTATCCAGGAATCCACCTGACTTTAAATCCACACTAGGACTGATGCCTTAGCCAAAGTATGAATGGTGCACCGGCTCTTCTATTTTGTTGGAAACATGAAGTTCAAAAAGCCCACTTTTGTAACTAAAAGAATAGCATTAGAGCTTTCTTAAAAAGAAACGGTTTCCTTCAGAATAGCCCAATGGGCCTCCTTAAAAAAGGCAGACTGCCTGGGTGCAGGGGACCACTTTCAGCAGCTTTCTAACACTGACTCCATGGGGGGAACGGATCCCAGCCCCAAATCAGACTTACTGACCTTGACCGACCACGGAGAACATCAGACATTGATAAGCCATCTATCTGAATAGCATTCAAGTAGAATAAAACAATATGGTAAAGTATTAAACTCATATATAGGCAAGGGGAGTATCTGAGCAAGGGTCTGGGTATATTTTCTGATGATTTGGAGATGAGATACAGTTGCTCTTTCTGTTTTTAGACAATAACAAAACACGATAAATTTAGTCAATCAAGAAAAACAGCCAGCAGTCTGTTTTCTGGCCCCCATTGCAGGGTCGGTGCCCCAGGGCAGCAGACACTGAGGTGGAGGTTGGCTTGCCAGAGTCTTTCAGGGATGTGAGGGCAGCGAGGGGGGCAGGAAGCCAGAGGGAGGAGTTGGACCATGATGCAGTCTCAACAGAGGCTTAAAGCTCCAGTAATTCTTCAGGCTTGTTCCAAGTGAGGGTGAGGAGAGTGAGCTTTTCAGTCTCTGAATCCAGGGGTCATTAGACGCCCCAGAGAAGGAGCCACGGCGGCAGGGGCGATGCCTCGGTTCATCCCAGGACAGCCCAGCACAGTGTCTACCGCAGCACCACTGGAGACAGCGCAGCCTCCTGCGGGAGAGCAGTGTTGACTATTGAGCTGATCAATAGGACGTAGCATGCAATGGCATCAATATTAATAGTATCAATAGCTACTCTTTAACAAGTGTTTATTACTTGCCAAGCTCTGTGTCATATAATATATACTCTTTCATTTCATCTTACAACTCCACGAGGTAGACATTGTTATCACCATGTGCAAGTGAAGAACCAGAGGATCAGACAGGCTCAGTGATTTGTTCAGGGTCACATATGTTTTACGTTCGGGTCTGGCTCCAGCGCTGTTCTGTAAACCTCTGCACTCTCTCGGGGCACACACCATGTTGGGGAGGGAGAGTAGGGGGTGGAGGGGTCGAGCAAAAAGGAGAAATGGCTGACAGACATGGACAGCAGTGCGGTGATTGCGGGGGGCGGGGGGGCGGGTATAAGGGGACTAAATGGTAATGGAAAAAATACAATAAAGATTATATTAAAAAATAAAAAATAATGCTGAACATTGTTTGGGAAGATACTATCCAAGGAATACAGGTTTGCCTTTCACACTAATGGATGGTATTAAACCACATTTAAACACATTTGATGAGTTCTATGTAGATGCTAAGTATATTTAGCAGTTTATAATTGTACTACTTTTAAAGGGAAAATGAATAATAGTTGCTGTCTGTTGGCTATTAAAAATCTTTACTTCATGACAAGAAGCCCTGAAGTAGTATAATTAGATGCCATTATAAAGGTAATAATGCCCATGGAGCTCTGGGAAAACCTCACCTGTTCTAAGTATTTCCAAATATGGTAATTGACGTCATAAGTAGAAGGTGAAGCCAGGATAAAATAAGTAGCACTTTTGATAAACAAAAGATAACATGCACGTATTGAATGCAATCATGAAAGTTCCTCCTGCTTATGTAACCAGTTTCCTCTTAGGTGTGGAAATTACAACGGTCACTTGCTGGTTTGTTTTCACTTCTTCAGGTCTCTCTACATCAACCTGCTGGGGCTCTGGGTCATCCTCGCCTGCGCCGTGCTCTGTGGGCTGGCCCTCTATTCCAGGTACCAAGACTGCGATCCCTGGACGAACAAGGAGGTGTCTGCACCAGACCAGGTTCAGTACCGTGTTTTTCTTACACGTGCGCTAATAACATTCAGAAAGCCTAACAGTTGGGAAGAAAGACCATGTTCTGGGTGATCAACAGTAAATGGGCATAATATGATCATCTTTAATTTCTATAAAGCATTTGGCAAAATATGACTTCAGCAGATACAGCAAGAGTAAAGAATGCTATATCCAAGATTAAAATATTGAAACACCTGAGAAAATTTCAAGCCAAGTGTTCAATAGAGACAAGCTCAAGGCTGGGAGTAGGAATGTAAACACGTTTCTAAAAAGCCAAAACTATACACAAACCATGTTACCCAAGAACATTTCGGGGTATTATTAGCTCTCCCATTTATAAACAGTTTACTTTCCAGTTTTTATTTTTCAGAATATAATTGGTATACAATATCCTATTAGCTGTATTTGTTTCAGGTGTACAATATAGTGATTTGACATGTTCACGTCATGCAGTGTGGTCACCCCCACTAAGTCTAGTGACCATCTGTCACTGTGCGAACTCGTCACCACCTTGTGGACCTGTCAGGTTTTCAATGACAGAGAGACGGATCTAATCAGTGAACACTTACTGAATGCCAGCTGTATGATAAGATTCTGTGCGGAGAGCTTTGCATGTTTTATCTTGTTCTCACGGCCTTGTAATTCTAATTTGATAGATAAGGGAATGAATGAATCTCAGAGAAGTAATATAAGTCGCCCAAGGTCACATAGCTAATAAATAAGAATCGCTGCATGCATTCATCAAACACTCACCATGGGTCAGGCACCATCATAAGTGCTTTGTGTAAACTTCAACTTTTAATTCTCACAGCCATACTCTGAGGTAGGTTCTGTGATATCTCCCCTTTAAAGATGAGGAAACTGAGGCACAGAGCAGTTAAATGACCAGGATTTAAATTACCAAGCTGGACCCAGGATTCCAGCCCAGGCAGGCTGTGCCCAGAGGCCTAACTGAACCTCTGTGCCATATACTGTCTTTCAGAAAGTGTGACTAGAATTCAGACCCAGGACTGCCAAGAGTATAAAGCCCAAGTTCTCGTTCTCTTAGTTCTTACCAGAAGTATTTCCTAAGACTCGCTTATAAATCAAGTGCTCTGGGGACTTGATTAGAACTAAAGATAGGCTGAATTTCATGTTGGTGCAAATGCGTCGCACATTTCCAGGAAAATACCATTTTTGTGGGATTAGAAAACAAGAGAATCCTTGAGCTGTGCATTTCAACCCTGTCTCCACGCACGCCCTCCTCATGGTGAACAGGTCCTTCCTATTTGCCCAGGGAATCCAGGAGTCCTGTTTGCTCTGAAGACGGAGGCACTCTCCCAATGTATCCCCTCTAGTCAAGAATATGTGATTTTTTAGTCAATCCCTGTTGTCTGTAGTTTGTATCATGAAGACAATGGGGATTTTGAAAAAAAATTTTTTCACATACCTTCCCCCTACCCTGGGGAAAAATGCCCCCACAACTTCCGAACCTTGAAGTTCTTTGTCATAAAAGCACGTCAAGGATCTCACACGCACACACCAATCACTCAGAGAGTGTGTGCTGTTTGAAAAAGAAAGAGGTCTTCTCCTTACAGAATGTTTCCCATGCTGTATTCTTAATTCAACTAATATTGCACTGGCGTGCAATACAAATAAGGCACAGGCAGTGGAAGATGAGGCCAAGATCTTAACTGAAGAATGCAAAGGTACATTTCTGCTCCATTCTGCAGGAGTTTACCCTAGGAAGCAGGGTTAGTACCTAGATATATAGTCTTACTAATTTTCTCTAATCCATCTGACCCCACTGGTTCTGTCTGTACCTGAGGGGGCTGTTCAGAATACTAAATATCACACCACAGAATTTGAGAGAGTTGATGACGAGGTAGAAAATTTTAGTTCTTGCTGTAACACTAACAGTAAACGCTTTCCTTTTGCTTATGTGTAGAATATTGCTTGAAGTTAGACGTTTAAAATATCTTACAAACATTGGGCCTTAATCTCCTAGAGAGAGAAGCACTAGTCTCATTCTCTGTGAATAAAGAGTTAGTATGCTTTGGAAAACACGGAGGAAGCAACACTAGAGCAATTCAATGCAGACCCTGGAAGCAATGGAGCCTGCTCTTCCATCACCACCAACAAATCTGTGTTAAGTGCAATCAGACAGTCAGATAAGGTGGGGACTGGCATTCACCCTGTAGCACGGGAGGAGGAATGAATAATGTTTCGATGTAAATTAGAGGACTTTTTTTTCTGGAAAATTATCTACTTAGGCCCCTTTTGATTCAGGAATCCATTTGCTTTAAGACTACCAGGTAGCATAGTGCTGAAGTCTTATACCTCCCTATCCTTATTCAATATTTATTTTTAAATGAATTTATCAAAAAAGCAAGTTGGTGTCGGGAAGTTTTTAAAAAGAAGCAAGTGTCAGGACTTTGCTGACGTTGCTTTCCACTTGTCGCTGTGTCTCATGCAGCCATAATGACACTTTCAGTCCTAGGCAGTGCTCAAGTTCACAAGGACAGCCTTGAGTTACCCAGTAAAGTTAACACTGCTTTGCACAGATGTGTGTAAAATATTTCTTTTAAATTGATTTATTATTTCAAAGAATGAGAATAGCTACCTCATTCACTGTATAAAGCATTTACCGTATTCCATAGACTGTACTAGCAGATTTACAGAGATTATCTAATTGATGTTTTGTAGCAGTTCTATGAGGTTAGTATTATTGCCCTTGTTTTACAGACGAGGAAACGGAGGATCAGAAAAATTAAGTAAAAAAAGCCACATCTGTCTGAGCCTGTGGCCTTAACTACCATTGCCATTCTTTCCTGTAGGTCTTAGCAGTTAAATAGTTTAATTTGGGGTATTTAAAAATTTCAGTTATATGGAATAGCTACTTCTGGTTCTTGAAAAACACAAGATACACGAAGCACTCATTAGTTTTACTTGGTAGCAAACAGTACTCAGGGGTAAATTTTGGGATTTTTCAGCTCATGCCGTATTTGGTACTGGACATCCTGCAAGATTATCCAGGACTTCCTGGGCTTTTTGTGGCCTGTGCTTACAGTGGGACGTTAAGGTATGTACTTTGACTCTAATAATACCCCACTGGGTTATTATTAACCCAATAATGTTAATAACCCAATGGGGAACCCAGTTGGTTTCCCCATTGATAGCTTCCTTTTTTATTGGATATTTGTGGGGATAAAGCTGGATTCTGGACGTGGGCACAAATGGCCCATCAGAGGCAGTCTATGCAGGGTCTGCCATTGGTTTGATTTCTACCTCTACGGGTTAGCACTCTGTTACCAGTCTGTGCTTTTAACTTAGTCCCGACTGCCTGGTGTGACTGCCTGGTACACCATCACGTGCCCTGTAGAATCACAGCAATGGTGATCAGTGGTGGTAGCTATCAAAAATGGGTGCCTGCAGTCTCAGTTTAAAATATACATGGGCCTATGCCCTGGCTTGTGTGGCTCAGTGGATTGAGTGCTGGCCCGTGAACCAAAGGGTTGCTGGTTCCATTCCCAGTTGGGGCACATACCTGGGCTTCAGGCCAGGTCCCCAGTAGGGGATGCATGAGAGGCAACCATACATTGATGTTTTTCTCCCTCCCTTCCCCTTTCTCTAAAAACAAATAAAACCTTTAAAAAATTTTAAAAAGATATGTGTGGCTAAAGTGTGGTCAAATGGAAAATTAGAATTAAAATTTTCTATTTGCATGTTGAACAATATACACTGTGTTTGAACTTATTCATTACACTTTGCCTGTGTTTGCTCCAGGGAATTCTTATTATGAACAAACTACAGCATATGTTAGTAAGGAATCAGGAAATTAATATTATTGATTGCTGTGGCATATATTAGTGAGACTTATGATAGTCCTCCATGCATAAAGAAAAGTATATTTTGAAGTCGTTAGATAATGATACTGCATAATCTATGTAGATTCTTTCCATAAACACTGATGATTAACTGCAACATGGAAGCAACATTAAATTACCCTTTTTCCCTAGTAAGCCTATAAATGTCACCTGAATCATTCTTAGATAACAGCTTCCAGGAAGAGGGTGCCGTGATCATTAAAAATAATATGGTAGAAACCTGGTTATATTTCAGAAGTAATGATTTGTTTTCCTGTTTCTCGTTCCTGCTTAAAGTATTATTATAGTTTACATATTATCCATGAAAAGTTTTATTTCCCTTTTTCCTTTACAGCACAGTGTCCTCTAGTATTAATGCCTTAGCAGCCGTAACTGTGGAAGATCTGGTCAAACCACACTTGAGATCAGTTTCAGAAAGGTCTCTGTCTTGGATTTCCCAAGGAATGAGTAAGTTTCCATTTTCACAGTTCACTTTGTAGCTCTGGGAGGTGTTTTCAGAGATCCTCTTTCCCATGAAGGACACAGAGTAGGAACCCCTGAGTGTAAATGTGTGCGCATATATATGCCCGTGACATGTATTTGCCATCGCGACTTGGGAGACACATCAGTTAATTGTCAGGAACCACAAAGAACAATTTCTTAATCCAAGACTGTTAAAATCTCAGCCACAGAAAAAAAAAAAATTCAACCCCTTTGCTTTTCAACTTTGACCAACATTTTAAGAAATCTCCTAATTTGGAAGCAGGAACCACGCTTTTTCTATGTTCCCTAAGAAGAGCCATCAGTGTAAGGTAACTGTGCGTGCGAACTGAGGATGAAGAAACAGGGCATCGTGACTTTTGACCTGACTCGAGTGCCTGTTTCATCTCTACACATACACTGTCCTGGAGATGATGGCCTGTGAGATTGTGCAAGGAATGCTCAAATTCTATTCTTAGATCATAGAACCTAATTATGGCTTAAATATCAGCTTGAATGGGAAGGTTTAAAGGCCTTGATTTCCCAAATGACCCAAATGTCAAATCTGACTCATAGAAATCTGCCTAGTGGATTTCATTGGTCATTTCACCTTCTTGTGTTATATGTGTTTTAGAATGAATGACTAACATTTTTTTTTAAAAAAAGAATCTTTAACCTTAGAAAAATAATGTGAACAAACTGTCAAAGAACTTATAAATAATACCCAGTTTTGAACCATAATTCTATATATAACTGCCATGGCTATAACCTGAAACAAGAGCTTAATTTGTATTCTTCACTGTCCCCTAAATTTAAATAGTATTGCATCATTTTATTGTATACCCACTTTTAATGCTGGAGCATAATTTCAGAATGATACAATAGTTCCTGAAGAATAAGACTGGCTTATTAAGGGGTTATTGGAACTGGTCGGTTTAGTAGAATGAATAGATTTTGAAGCCAGACAAAGCCCATCTTGCTTCATTAATTTACTTGCTATTAGGCTTGAGCAAACCCAAAAACCCATTTGAGCCTCTCTTTCTTTATATGGAAAATATTCACTTTACAGGGATACTGTAAGATTTAGAGATAATGCATATAAAATAAGAGGCCCTAGCTGGTGCTCAGAGAACAATAGTGCTGGTGATTAACAATGAGATTTGTATTAAATTATTATCTCAAGGTATTTATAGTAAGGACTTCATCAAGAAAAAGATGGCAGATGATTTGACTGTTTTCAGTAACTTTGAACACCAAAATCCATAGTGGTGGCCATACATGAGCTATCAAATGGAGAAGACTCAAGCTAATACTATTAGGATCAGAGACATAAAAAAGTCATGCACTAAGAGCTCTTTGCAAAAAAAATTAATGTAAGTTTTTTCCACTTAGCTACAATGAAATTATTTGCCCAATATACTTAACAAAGGTGTGAGGGTTAGTTCAAGTAAGACAGGAATAATATAATATAAGGAATACACCAATTTTTTGATGAGCAAGTTCTTGTTTATATTACTGTATTTTGAGTTGTATGTGTGGGAAATTATGTTGAATGACTTCAGGTGACTTTTGCGGAATGGAAGTCTTTAAAAATAAAGTTGATTTAAAAAAATGTTTTTCTATAATTTAAATAGTAAAGTATGTACTTGGAGAAAATCTGGAAAATACTGAAAGTTAAAAAAAAATCCCATACTCTGACCACCAGTGGAGGCTACAGAATTTCCATCAGTGAGTTTTCAGAGAAATTTTAGCAGAAGGGAGAATATGATACTTGCCTTTCTTTTCTAGCTTAACAGGAAAGGCTTGGGCTTGTTGGTGGAGATTATGAGAGGATTTAAGGTCCTAGACCACCTTTCTGTGTGATTGCCACTTCCCAGAAGAAATGAACACTTAAAGTCAGAAGACTCTAATTCCCAATGCTTATTAATCCCTTCCCCTACCCCATTGTACAGAGCAGTGTTGAACTGTGTCCTGTTTTGGCCAACTGAAAACAAGAGACCCAAGCCTTCTTTTGTATTAAAGAAATGTTGATGGGGGATTAGATTGATCATACAATAGTTCTTAGCTTTAAAAATCCCTATCGTTCATTCTAGGGGTTCTTTACTTATATAACCTAATGTAATCAATCCTTGGACACAATATCAGGATTTTCTTTCCTTCACACACTGCTGATTCGGTAGGAAAACGCCCTTTTCCTTTTTCAGCTGGCTCTGGTGTCTGCGGCCATTCTTCACCACAGTCATACTACCCACTTTGAATCAAAGGTGCGCTAGCCTGTTCTGTTGAGAAGTCTAATCCTCTGGGTCTGGCCTTTACACTGGCGTTTACCTCGTCCATCTAGGTGTGCTGTTTGGAGTCCTGTGTATTGCAATGGCTGCTCTGGCATCACTAATGGGGGCTGTGTTGCAGGTAAGAGCTGACCCTCAAAGCTTTGAGTCATAATCACTTTTTATTTTTAATGTTGATGTGACCATTCTTCCAGACTTCTCTTTTTATATATTTCCCACATAAAGGAACTGAGGTGACTAAATTATTATTATTATTTTAATTTTAAAATTAAACTTTCCATTTTGAGGCAATTGTAGATTTACATGCAATTATAAAAAGGAATAGATCTGACATGCATGCTTTACCTGCTTCCCTTCAATGGTCCGGTGACACCTTGCAAAACAGTAGTGGCAGCATCACAACCAGGCTGCAGACACCGATACAGTCGAGAGATGGAGCGTCTCCATCTCCACAAGGGTCCCTCGTGTTGCCCTTCTGTAGCCTCCCCCACTTCCCTCCTGCCCCTCCCTCTTCCTCCACCCCCGGCAACCACTAATTTACTTTCCATTTCTGTACTTTCACCATATCAAGAATGTTATATGAAGGGAATCGCATAGAATGTAACTCTTTGAGACTGGCTTCCAGAGAAGTTGTGAACTGACCCCTCGGGCCCATATCGAGTTCGCATCCTCCTCACACAGATTCTCTGTCACAGTACCTACACTCCTTCCCTGGTTCATGAGGTCGGCATTTTCTCTGTGGACGAATTAATGTGCCCCTGACGCTTCTTTTATGGTTCTGTCCTCTCTCGAAAACTAGCTGTCTGATTATTGGGAACCCAGATCTCTTGGAAGTTTCAGCTATTTGCATTTCTCCCATTCTTCACATGGTAAACTTTGCGGTCATGACTTTGGCATCTGTACGTCTAAGCAGTTTGCCATTGGCCAATTGGATTTTAAATCTCTTTCTATGGGATTGGGTAAACCTTTTTTAAAATCACATTTTTCATTCTAGTTCCATGCTTAGGGAACCAAGGATGGCGTTGGGGTTCGTTGCTGTCTGTGGTCACTTAGTAGTACTTACCTACACTCTTTTGTTCCGAGGAGGATTTTGAGGGAATGAAAGACAGAGTGATGTGACTGATGATTAAGGTCCGTGAGAACAAGGCTGGGAGGAGTGTTGTCACTCTTGACTTAGGCTTCATATGGGTGCTCCCATTGCCCCCCGAGTCTCCACCTCCCTGACATTTGGCTTCCCTTTTTTGAGGCTGCCTGAAGGAGCATGTGGGTACTGCACACTAAGACGCAGAAGTTCCCAAGTTCTGATGCTCTCTTTGCCCACGACAAGGCTGCCATGCTTTTGGGGAGGAGCCTAAATACTTTAAATCCTCATCCTGGTGAAATCAGTTTGAAACATTTTAACTCTGAACTTGAAATCTCTAACTGCTGACTTTATCTTATTTCTGTAGGCAGCACTCAGCATAATTGGCATGATCGGTGGACCACTTCTGGGCCTGTTCTCTTTGGGCATTTTGGTTCCCTTTGCCAACTCAACTGTAAGTATAAAGAATGAATAGATGTAAAGCTTTCTTTTCAAAATACAGTAGTGGCTTTATGATTTTTTTTCTCAGTTGTAACGATGTGGTTGCTATGACATCCATTGGCAGTGACTTAATGACTTAGATTACTTGCATCGGCTTTGCTGGGGTGTACTGTGAAGTGCTGTATACCGGAAGGCTGCTTTTGTGAAGCTCAGTGTAAACAGCCAGAATAATATAGTGCAAATTCAAATATTCATAATATAGGTAAAGAGCAACAGCATTTCTTGTGCATTTATCCTTTTGCTCTTCTTGAAAATTAACCATTAACAATTAAAGACGGAGATGGACAGGCTCAGATATGGGAGACTTAAGGAGAGCAGAGCTGAGGACACCTGTGAATATCCAGAATACAGCAAAGAGAGCAATAGGGTCTTCACCACCTCGACCAGAAGGCTTCTACTTCTGATCGTCAAAGCTGCGGGAAGTGTCAGGGCATCAAAAGAAGAACCCTGACAGCAGGTGCACCACAACATTATATTCCTCCCTCTCTCCTTCCCCTCCCCTCTAAAGGTAAATAAATAAAATTCTTTAAAAAAAAAAAAAAAAAAAAAGAAAGAACCCCAGTTCTGCTTTCAGGAGTTTTCAGCCTAAGGAAACAGCTCACAGTCCTCATCCATAACGTAAATCCTCCGGTCTGGTCAGCAGCCTTCTCACTCTTCCATCATGACTTGGCTTATGCTTTTCCCCTTCCTTCAGATATTCCCCGCTGTCTGCTCTATGTGGAGCTTGAGGTACAGGCTGTCCTCTCTGGTTGTTATTCTTAAAGGTTGGAGGGAAATTCCACCCCAGAGTAAGGGGCTTCCCGGCTCCAGGTTTGCCTTAATCCCTGTTGTTTGGAACTAGGCCTCACATCATTCCAGAGCTGGCAAAACACCTGGATTACTGGTAAAAAGCAAGGGTGGGGGGCCCAAGTCTTCCACAGACTGGGAAAGCCAGTGTCTTCAGAGAGGACATCTCCATTTATATCTCGAAACACTTGGCTTGGTTGTAGGCACCGCTGCAGTCATTTGGGGAAACTGCTCGCTGTTCGCCCCACCCCCCATGACCCTGCAGCACAGTCCCAGGCCTGCCCATTGTTAACCACAGGAGTGAACTCTGTGGATGCCGTCTTCTTCTTCATAGTCTGTGGCTCACGTGGCATGCCATCTGTTCACACGTTAAATAAAGGTAGGGCTGGCCTGGAGGCAACTACAGGACTGTTGTCGTTATTTGGGTGTGAAGAGACCAGGAGGCCAGAGCAGAGTGCTGGCCGCGGAAACGGAGATGAAGAAATAGAAGTATGAGACTTATAAAAGGAAAATGGGCAGGACTTGGTGATTGGCTAGGCAGGGATATGAAGAAAGGGAATGGGGTTACAGAGTCTCGGGGCTGAGGGGTCGGGGGCCCCGTGCTGCTGGGGACAAAAGGTAGGGATCTGGTGAGGGGAACAGTTTCAGGAGGAAGCTGGTAAATTGGGCTTAGCCCATGTTGAGCTTAACCTTCTAATGTTAATTTCCATCTCAAAGCAAACTGTGTTTTTTAAAAAACTCTCTTGTTTTACAGGGAGCGTTTATTGGTCTGTTGGCTGGATTTGGTGCTTCTTTCTGGGTCGGCATTGGAGCTCAGCTGTACCCCCCACTTCCTGAGAGATCCATGCCGCTTCCCCTGGAAACCAGCGGCTGCAGTAATAGCACAGGCAATGGGACAAACTGGATGTCCACTACAGAAATGCCGTTTTCTACTAGTGCTTTTCAAGTACACAATGTCGAAAGGTATTGAGTTGAGCTCTATAATGTCATAGTTTTTAAAAATACAGGTGGCAGGTAGAGAACCCTAGTCTCTTTGTCTTTCCTGCAACACAGTGGTTTTGGCATGATTCCAAAATGATTAGAACGCAGTGGCTTTCTGCTGTAATAGTTTGTTTAGAAATAGCAAAATAAAAAGCCATGGTTTTTTTTTAGTTTCTATAGAAACTTCTGCCTTACCTACAGATCTGGAGATGGCTCGAATACTAACAACAACAAAAATTCCATTATGGGCAAATGCTATGAAGTATCAAATCTAGTGGAATGAAAAGTTTTCTTTGTCAAAAACTTTTAAAGTGAAAAGCTCAATTATGGGAAAAAAAAATTCATTGCTTATATCATCTTTGAAATATCCATCTTTTACTGACACAAGCTACAGTTACCTAAATATGTCGCTATTTGTTCAGTTTTAAAGATTCCCAGTCCTTAGAGCACTGACAGTGAGTTGGACCTGAGACTGCCCTGCTGGAGTTTGCAGCGAGCAGTGCACTTTCGAGCTTCTGGATACCGATGCTGCCTGATCTACTAAAATGATGTCAACCTGGCAGCAGAGGATTGTCCTATTGCATAGTGGGTACGAGAGCAAGGCTCTCTTTAGTGGGTATGTAGTTGGCCCTTGGACACAGGTTCAGTTATACACAGATATTTTTTAACGAATACCTAAAGTACTGGAAATACATTTTTCTTCCTTATGATTTTGTGAATATTTTTCTTTCTCTAGCTTACAGTACATAATACAGTACATAATACATATTACATACAAACTATATGTTCATTGACTGTTTATGTTGTTGGTAAGGCTTCTGGTCAGTAGGAGGCTCTTAGTGAAGTTTTTTTGGGAGGCAAAAGTTGTATACACATTTTCAGCTGCACAGCTGGTTGGGGCCTCAACCTCTTCATTGTTCGAGGGTCAGTTGTGTAAATGTCCAGCCTGAAAGTGTAAACCCCATGGACATGTCCAAGGACTGGAAAGACGAGACCACTGCCCTCCAAGGGTTGACCCAGTGCCTGCTTGCCCTGAATGAAACCATTGGAGAACCATTCCCATGCAGGGGTGTCCAACCTGCAGCCCAACACAAAATTGCAAATTTACTTAAAACATTATGAGACTTTTTTGTGATTACGTGTCACAATGTAGTTAATGTGTGGCCCAGGACAACTCTCCTTCCAGTGTGGCCCAGAGACGCTAAAAGGTTAGATGCCCCTGCTAGGGTCTAAAAACGATTTTTCCCTCTTGAGAGAAGTGATGTGACATTATTAGTAATTTATGTCCCACGAGGAATTCAGCCATGAGAATGTTTGTCGGTGGGAGCTCAAGGCTGGAACTCTGCATGGGCAGAGACTAAAGGTAGTTCCAGAACCTGGGGCATATTTAGAGAGATTCGACTAGGTGGGCTGCTGTGGGGAGAGGGGTGCAGAAATGCAGGGAGCAGTCTGGACAGGCGTGAGAGCACTGATGAGGGCCCTGTTGCCATGTCATTAGTCAGAGTCACAAGGGGAGAAAAGATTAATGGGAGGGTAAGTGGGACGGTGTTCAGAGTGTACTTATTTACAGTGTTTTTTATTGTTGTTCAATTACTATTGTCCCCATTTCCCCCCCTTATTCTCCCCTGCCTTACTCACCCACCACCTCCCGAATTCAATCCTCCCCCCTCCATTGCCTTTGTCCATGGGTTCTTTGTACTTGTTCCTTGACTTGACCCTTCCAAGTATGCTTATCATTTGTTCTGATTATGTAAACATCTCTCTTAATTTAAGAGTCTAAGAGAAAAACGATTATTTGAATTTCTAAAGCAAATTAACCAGCTGAGGTTTACTGTGTGCCTGGTACCATAATAACACTTTTCTATGTTAGCTTATTTATAAAATAACTCAACTAGTAAACAGGTTCTTTTAAGTATGAACTGTGTACTCAGCCCTGGGCTGGTTCCTCATGTGACAGCCACAGAAAGTCTTCCCCTCTCAGTCACTGTGGCTTGTGCCTTACAGGGAATTATCACTTAGCTGCAGAGAGTGTATCAACATACACAAAACAACTAACTCAGTCAGCACAATAAGTATAATGACCAGCACCTGGTAAATAGCTAATAAATACTTGATAACTAATTGTTAAAAGGATGAATATAAACACAGCTGAAGCACAGATTAGCATGAAGACTTCACAGATGTCGTACCACTAAAAGTGTGCAGAAGTCGGCTAGAAGGAGAAAGTCCAGAAAGTCATACTTGTCACAGAAAATGACCAGAAGGCAAGTCGAACAAGGAAATCAACCCCGCTGAGACGCGGGGTAACCCTGGGCTGTCATGGGGGCCGGGAGGAGGAAGAGCCTGACTATTCCTGGGTGGAGTCAAGGAAGCCTTCTTAGCAGAATAGTACATGAGCAGGACTAAATCAGGTGAATGAGGCTGGGAGAAGGGGCAGAAGGAGGAAGGAGTGCACATTGCAGGATGGGGAAACAGCAAAGGCGTGCTGGCCTGAATCCACACGGCATCTTAGGAAATCATCCACAGGGCAGTCTCACTGAAGACGGAATACGATGCCCTTCCGTGGCCTTGCTACTAGGTTTCAGTCACCCAGATTCGGTTTTCACTTTTTAAGTTCCCAGTACTTGCTCACTGTGCTTCCGAGGGCTGGTGTTCACCCCTCTCCGAGGCTTTCTTCGGGAACCTTTTGTCATTCAGATCTCAGTTCAAATGTCATTTCTTCACAAAGGCTTTCTCTGACCACGCATCAGGTTGTAGTTTCTTTTTTCCACCCTGCGAGTGTCACGTGACCTCATTCCCTTTTCCATTATAGCATTTTCCATCAGTGGAAGTTATTACATTGAACAATTAGGTGACTTGTTTATTGTGTTTATCTCCCCTGTTCAAATGTAAACTTTATGCGGGCAGGAACCTTACCTACCTTTCCAGCGATAGACCTTCCGATGACAAGAACGGTGCCTAGGACACCAATCAGAGTTGGATGAACGCACTTGGACATTCAGTATTATAGTACAGAGTCAAGGTTAAGTCATACTTTTCATTCCTGATCTGGTAAACTAAAATTGGGACAGCAGATTATGACATTAAAATCATGATTGAATGTTATATTTAGACTTTTCCATAAGGATTGTCGACACTCTAAGTTGCAAGGAGCATCACATGAAACCTAACAGTTACGCTGTGCTCTCTCTCAGGACTCCACTCATGGATAACTGGTATTCTTTATCGTATCTGTACTTCAGCACCCTTGGAACTTTGGTAACGTTACTCGTGGGGATGCTCATCAGTTTATTAACAGGTAACTACATAAACACCGGTATCGTTGTATTTTTTTAACTCTGCATCCGTTTTTACTATACCTGTTTTCTAGCTGTTTCTGTTATTTCACTATAGTCCTGTCAGTAGTCAGTTTAATTGTTTATTCCATGTTACTCATGGGGAATTTGAGGGCAGAGGGCTCCTCTCTATTTGAATCTTTGTTCTGCCACTTGCTAAGCTGCAGGAACTTGGACAAGTCTGTGTAGCTCCTCTGAGCCTCAGCTATCTTTTGTGTGAAGTGAGAAGAAGAATAATTGACCTGCCTATCTCACAGGTTGCTTTCAGACAAAAATAAAAGGCTTGAAAGAAATTGCATAATCCTCCTACAATGCTAGGGATTTCCCATTGTTGTCACAGCAGCCCCGTGTCGTTGTCCCACACCGACCTTTGTGAACTGTATAAAGAAGTGCAGACACACGTAAGGAGTGATGATTATAAACCTTATAGTAAATAGTATGTGAAGACTATTTGCAGACGTTCATAAACTTTAAAGAATAATTTTAAAAAATCAAATTGATAATACACATAGTGTACACTGCTCTCTTGGAAGGCCGGGGAACTGTTATCCTGGGACTTCATTTTGTCCTCTCTCCTCGAATTCCCTCAGTCCCCCTCCTGTGTCGGATTCCCTGCCGTCTGCATCCTGCCATTCCTGATTCTCATTTACCCCCTGAATTGAGTGGAGCACATGGGAAAAAGAAGAGATTTTGGAAATGATGCATGCCTGACGAAAACGTCTTTAATTCTCCCTTATACTTGATTGTTTGGGTAGAGAATCTTAGGTTGAAAGTAACTTTCTTGTCTGTGAGAGGATGTCTTCATTTTCTTCCCTGCGTCTTTGTTGAGCATGCCAGTGTCATGCTGCCTGCTGACCCCTTGCAGGTGACCCCTTTCACGGCGCTGCCCTGCTCAAGGCCTTCAGCAGGGCCTTGCAGCCTGAAGACCCGTGATCTTTAGTTCTAGGGCACTTTCTTATGTTATTTCTTTCGCAATTTCCTGCTTTCTCTTTCTGCAAACTCCCTAAGTTAAATGTTTCAGTCTTGGAGAGTTCTTCTAATTTTCTTACCTTTTCTCTCCTGTTTTCCACCTCTGCGCCTATTAGGTCTACTGCCTGGGATATTTTCTTCAATTGCTTTTCCAATACTTCTCAAAGGAGCACTCTGATCCAGCCTTGAGAATAGTCTGTAAGGGAAGGAGGGCAGGGAGGAGGCTTTGCAGTAATCAGGTGAGCGGTCACAGTGGCTCGGACCAGGCTGGTATGGGTTGGTGAAAAGTACCGGGCTCTCTAGTTTCCTAAATTCCCGCACACCTGTGCATCCATAGCAGCCAAACTGGGGGAGGCAGCTCCACTGCCCTCCTTATCAGATGTGTAGTAGCCAGTTAGACATCCTACACTTGGTCCACGTGTGTGGGATGTCTTTGCTTTATGCTACAAAGCTACCAGCACTGTGACACTTGAAGAAATCCTTCTCTCAGTCATTGTTTTTGGCTATCTGAATAGCACTGTCTTCCAAACTTCTGCCGCTTGTGTTTATAATTAATAAATTATGTGAGTAATTACTGATAAAAGTAATATAGTTATATCTATATTAATTATAATATTATTATCTATTACAATGTATAATTATGACCCATTTATAATAAAGCTTGTGACTATTTACTAACTGTAAAACAATGGTTTTAAATTACTGTTTCTTTTCAAAACAAACTGAGCTTTTTCTCATAAATAAAATAACCAGCATAGTAGACTTATTCTCTTGTCTGTTTTGATACACAGGGTGGGGCAAAAGTACATTTACAGTTCTTTGTATGGAAAAGAACACAATCATTAATAAATAATAAAAACAAGAATGAACTGTGTTTCTCATACAACTGTAAACCTACTTTTGCCCCTTCTTGTATATTAAGACCGATTTTAAATTTTTCTCACCAGTAATCCAATTGTTTAGATCTGGAACACAGCTAACCTGCACCACCAGACTTTTGGTCCTTATTTAACCCATTTTTTCCCTTTAAGAATGGGGCATTACAGAAATCTTTTTTTTCCCCTCAAATGCTTGGATTCTCAAACCCTACACAACTATATGTTTTGTTTTAAAAAGAAAAGCTCTTTGCAGGAGAACAGGCATCCAGTTTGGTTAAAAACACTTCAACTTCATACATTTCATAAATGACATTCTCACTCCACAGCGGCGGTGAACTAATTGGAAAAAATCTAGAAACCTAAAATTTTGATGCTCCTCGGGAATTAGATTTCAGTTCTACTATAGGATACTAGGAATCTGTAAGGACAGGCCAAACAGACTTGGGGGGTGTTTAAGCCTCACCTCACCAGGCACTGTGCACCGGGAGCGTGTTTCTTCATGGGAAAAGCGGGGTAAAGAGTTCCTAAGTAGACTGTGAACTGCGAGTGCAGGGATGGTTGTATTCATCTCTGCCTCCCCAGCACCTGATAGAGTCTCTAGCACGTGGGAGGCAATGATGTTGAGTGAATTAATCTAAAGCTGATCTCCTCTTGAGAACAGCAGAGGTTCCCCAAATTAAAAATCTAGTATTTTTACTAAAATGGTGCTTCTCAGCATTTGAGGGAGTAACGATCACTGCAAAAATTTGGTGAAAGTCACAATTCAATGCCCGTCCCCCCAGAGATTCTAACTGGGCCTTTCCTCGTTGGAGTCCAGGAGTCTGCATATTAAGTGGTTCTCCTAGGTGATTGATGTAGAGGTTCTTTGAGACACATGGTTTAAAAAGCATCTTCTTTGACTCACAAATAAAATAACAAATCAAAGCAAAACCTTCGGGAAGAGGAATTGGATGAAATACCAATCATCATATTGGCTTTTATTTAAGTAATTTATTCAGCAGTTTATAATTTCCTGCATTTCTTCACACGTATCCACGTTCATAGCCACCAAATAGGGGAAAGGCAACTTTTGAGGCAGAGGCAAATGGTTTGATATTTTATTTGTAGATCGTGTAGGATGCTTTTAAACCAGTTTTCCTACCAGTTTTGAGCCAGATGACTCGTTCTCTGGTTGCATACCAGATGAGGCAGTTGGCTTGCATTTATCTCGAGACACTGGACTCATACTAATCAGTGAAATCCTTGCAGAATGAGGCAAGGGACTTGGTGAGCTATGTTTCCAGCACTAGTTAAAAGCTTTCCTTCTCTTTGTGTTTTATGTATATAGAGTTGAATGTGCACAAGTTAAATGCCTGTGTGATGGTGGATGGTCACTGGGTAGTTATAGGCATCCTTTTAATAATGTAAACAATGTCTATGTTTTTCAGGAGGAAGAAAACAAAACTTAGACGGGAAATTTCTATTAACTAAAGAGGACGTTTTATTAAATTTTGACTTTTTAAAGAAAGTAAGTTGGCTTTCTTTTTCCTTCAAATTAGTATAACTGCCTTTATCACCTGAATAGCTAACTAGTTGGTCTTCACAGTCCTTTGAACTCTGACGGACAAGGAAGGTCTTTGCCCTATTTCATGACCTGCTTTTGTTCTCTCTCTCCGTTGGTAGACAACAAAGCTGATTTAGGAAAAGAAAAGTGATAGTGACTATTTAGAATTAAATGGATGAACAGTCCCTTTTTCTAATTACCATGTTACCATTTTCTTTCAGAAGGAGCATGTTTTAAGCTATAAATCTCATCCAGTAGAAGATGGCGGAACTGATAATCCTGCTTTCAACCACATTGAATTGAACTTCACAGATCAAAGTGGCAGGACCAATGGGACTCATTTGTGAAACCACTGTGATACTAGATGACCCTACACAGTGACCCAGTTTTCTGTGTTTTCTTAGATAATCCAATCAGGGTTAGGCATTTTTTGGTTCTGTCATGAGTGTTTTGGAGGAGGAAACCTTTGGGGGATAAAATTTTGTTAAAGTCAAGTCCCGCCTTTCCTCATTTACTACACTCATTAATGATGCTGCTCTGGAATTCAGAGTGCGTGTCGGCGTTGCCACATCTCACTGCTTTATTTCCATGAAGCTGTCGTTGTGAAAGTCATGACTCCCTATGTGCCAAAAGGATAATACACACACATACACACATATTTGATGGTCAAAAGCATATTCTTAAATTCAGACATTAGAAATACTTTCCACACTTTTGGTGCTAACATATAAGTTTTGGAGGTTTGCCAAAATCATACCAGATATTGAAATTATGCAACAGGTCTGTGTTGTGTATATCTCTGCTTCTTATTGACCACGGTCAGCCCAGGGCACACATTAGCCTTGAAACCAATTCTGGCTCAGGAAGGTAGTGATCAAGAAGCATGCTGTTTGGGACAGAATATGGGTCCAATTAGCATGGTCTTCTTGGTGCCAAGCATCTATTCTGTGCCTTTTTGCTTGTTAGCTAGAGTTCCTGGCCACTGGCTGCTTGCATTGCCTTTCTTAGACCCTGGGTCTTATCTGCACTCCCAGTTTCTTTCATATCAGCATTGGTTTTCTTGTGCACTTTACCTTTGCTTGCCTTCCTAATTTCCTGGTTCACTAAGTCCCAGCCTATAAATTATAAACACCCATGAGCCAGCCTAGTACTAAGTACCTTCAGCATAGGTACTCGTGGATTTGGTGATTCAAGGACATTCACATGATTAAAAATGGTTAAGCTCCTTGAAGTTCCTTCCCCTTGATGATTACAATGAATGCTGTTAAGTTGAATTTTTGAATGTCAACTACTTTGTAATCAACTAAATTTAATGATACATATGCTTAGAAATCCTGAATTCTAGTGTATTCTCCCAATTAAAGAGCTAAATTACATAGGCAAACACTAATGTTCTGGAATTACTAGATGTATGCTTTGTTCCATGTTTTAACATTTCAAGTAGGAGTCTTGAAGTTTATTTTGTTTATTTTGCTACATTTATAGCTAAGAATTTGGTAAATACTAAGGCTTTCATCAATAACTTTTTTTCCTATAGTGCCCACATTAGATATTATTTAAAGGTGTTTTTTTTAGCTTTGCAATGTTTTAAAATAATTTCAGAAATATTTATGTACATTAATCTATTTTATGTTTTTGCTTTTTTCTGATATTTAGGTAAGCATGCTCATTTATGGTTGCTAATTGAAAGCATTAAGAAATAAAAGAATAGGAAGCAATATTTATCTAAAACAGAGGGATTTATATAACACTTAAATAATAATGTATTCATATATTTTATATGTGTATAGATGTTATTTTTAAATCAGTATATTTGTAAGCACATATTGAATTTTATAAATCTATAAATTTTGATGAATAGAAAAACAATCTTTTTTGTTTTTTGTGAGTGTGATTTGAACTGTTATTATTTATTTTATAATTCTAAATGCACAAGTGTGTAGAATTCTTCAATTTTGGAAATCAAAATAAAATTATTTAAATATTTTCTTCTCTTATCTGACTGCCAAGGGGTTTTGCAGTGTATTTTTAATTAGAGAGAAGGTACTTCCATTGTTCTCCACTTTCTTTTACCACAATATGTATTTGTGATTGGGAACTGTTGACCTTTTACTTTTACAAATATCCTTGTTTCAGATACAAGGTTTTTTTTTTCCTTTCATTGAGTATGTTGGGGTAATACTGGTTAACAAAATTACACAGGTTTCAGGTGCACAGTTTTACAATGCATCATCTGTACTCTGTTGATCTTTTTCTTTTATGGATATATGAGTGCCAGATATAATTCTTAAGAAATCAAAGTTTTATTATTATTAATTATTTAAAATTACGTATTTAATCTAAATCTTTGGGCAAAATCAAAGAAACAATCTAATGTTCTTAATTACTTTTCATCACAACAACCCAAATGAGAAAGCAAACCCCACACAAATTGTCTATTTTTATTTTGTCACTGATATGTATGACCTTGAATTTATTTTTTATTTCCTCTAATGATGGAACATAACACTGAACATCTACCTCACAGAAATAATGTGAGTATAGAAGATCAGATAGCACTTTATTAAGTCAAATAGTGTTATTTTGAACCTCAGTATGATTGGAAATCAAAATTTGAAACAAAGCTCACTCAGTAATTAAAAATACTGAGCTGTTGCCCTGGCCGGTGTGGCTCAGTGGATTGAGTGCTGGCCTGCAAAGCAAAGGGTCACTGATTCAATTCCCAGTCAGGGCACATGACTGGGTTGCAGGCCAGGTCCCCAGTAGCGGGTACACATGGCAACAACACATCGATGTTTCTCTCTTTCTCTTTCTTCCTCCATTCCCATCTCTCTAAAAATAAATTAATTAAATCTTTAAAAAAACACTGAGCTGTTAATAATTTGCAATGTAATGGTATGGAGATCGTTTCTTCTCTGAAAAATACATCTCATAGAAATGTCAAAATACAGTTAGCTGTCAGCAGGGTTACTCTAACAGAGAGAATGCAAACTATAAAGAAGGCTCTAGACCAGTCATCTTCACTCCACAGAGAAATAAAATTTTATATGTAGGATGTAAAGTATAACTTGTATTCATCTATGTAGATGCTCATGCAATCATTTTCTCTCCATACTAATGGTTCTCAATGGGGAAATTTTGCACCTTAGGAGACATTTGGAAATATTTGGATTTGTTTTGGGTTGTTCATAGCTGATAAGGAGGTGCTACTGGCATCTTAGGGATGGTGTTGGACATCCTGTGATGCCTACCTGTGCAACAAAAAATGGTCCTGCCCCAGATATAATAGTGTTGAGTGTGAGAAATCCTGTCCTGGATGCTAAGGTTGCAATCTTTTTTTACTTTATTTTTATTGTTTCCACTAGTATAGATGTCAGGATTGTAATCTTGATCTTCCTTAAGTTGCACACCCTGGTTGCACACACACATTCCTTCAGGGAAATTGCCATGAGTCTTCTGAGCTTGCTTATCTACAGGTGAAGAGTAAATATCACTAGCATATGGAATGTTAAGATGTAGAATAATGACCTGAATTTTCACAGCATTTTGAAAATATTAAGGATAATAGAATTGTAAATAACTGTGAAAACAACAGAGCTTTGTCTCCCAACATGATTTTCAGAATTAACATATGTTAAGATGAAGGAAATATTAAGTATATGAAGATTTTATAATATTAGTTTGTTTATGAAAGCCCCAGAAAGTATAGTTTATTGTTAAAAATTGCGTGTCTGTCCAGGACGTACAATAGATACAGGGGGGAACAGGGATGGAGTGGAGCGGGGGGAAGTTACCTACTCTGTGTTGATTCTTACAGGAAATTCTGGTGTTTTTTTCAATGAAGATGTTGATATGAAGTCAACTGAGTGCATGACCATTTCGTTTCTGAAAAATCACTGTACGATTTAGTAATGGTAAAATTTACTTTTAAATTGTGTGCCCACTGTGTGTGAAAAAACTGAGAGACTTGAAAATTATCATGTAAAACATGGCTGTATTTCTGACTTTTCAATTAGTTGATTAAATGTCTTTGAAACTGTCTATTTTGGGGCGATTGAATATAATTAATTTTATCAGCTTTTACAAAGGTTATTTCCACTCTACCACATAATGGACTCTTTCTATATACTATATATAGTTTATAAAAGTGTAAGCAAATACACATTCAAATTTTTTTGTCACTGAAGACTATATTATATATATTTTAATAGTTTTTTATAGTATTTCTCCATTACCATTTATTCCCCTTATTCCCTCTTCCACCTTCACCAACCGCCTCCCCCGTGTAATCTCCACACTGTTGTTCGTGTCCATGAGTCCTTTTTCTTTTTCGCTTGATCCCTGTACCCCCAGCCGCAGCCCCAAAGCTGTCAGCCTGCTTCTCTCTGAGTCTGTCTCTATTTTTCTTGTTAGTTCAGTTTGTTCATTGGATTCCACATATTAGTTAAATCATAGCAATTAACACTATATTTGAAAAGAGAAGGTAATATCCTTAATACTGGATATTTCTTAGCCTCTATCTCTTTGAATATTCCCCCTTTTTCATTTTTTCTGTTCTGTAACTCTTTAACTCCTAGTGCATGAGCATTGCAAATTTTTATCCTCTTCTTCTTGTCTTCTAATCTGGATCATAACTTCTATCTTTTTATATTTCTGTAATGCATCCTGGATGATTATAAAGAAAAGTCATTTGAGAACTAAACAGAAGTAAAATATAATGTAATTTTGAAGTAGAGAAATAGGAAGTCTCCTATTCACACATTTAAGACAGTAAGAAACGTGTCTCAGTAATGATGACATACAAAGTACAGTGCAATTCAGAACAGGACCAGTTGTTGCGGTAGATGGAGGGACAAACAAAGGGGATAAGGGAGAGAGATGGAGAAACGAGTGATAGGAGATAGCAGAATACCTAGATTCACGTTCCTTCTGCAGCCACCCAAAGACAAGATTTCAAAAAATGAAGAGATGAAGAAGAAAGGGCCTGGCTCAAGGAGGCTTCTACAGGGGCAGTAATCAAGCAGAGAAGAGAGGCAGGTGAGGAGCTTCGGAGGAAAATATAGTGCTGAAATAATTCAGGAAATATAAGCCATGACCTTCCCTTCTTCCGGAGCATTCAGTTGCCCCCTAGGCTCATTCTCACATTGCAATAATCAGACCTTTGGTTTTATAACTCAGAAAAGGAATGCTTCAGCAAATACCAGAGAACAGAGGAATTGGGGGGGGGGGGATTTTGAGTGTCAAAGGTCTGGCTTTTAGGATAAAATATCTTGGAAGGTAAGAGCTAGGTTTTCTACAGTAGAAATGGATTCCCTATGCTGGGAAGGTAAGAAAGAAGCCATGAGAGCTAATATATTTGTGAGGCTCAAAGGAAGGGTCTCTGTAGGTCACTCTCCAAGTGCTGAACCCTCAGCTGGCACCAGCAAGTCATCCTATATTTGTGGGATTTGAAAATCAACAAAACGTTGTGTGCCTCTTCCTGGTTAGTGCATAGAGCATTAAATACTTAGCTGAGCGCTATGGCTGGGCAGGCATATGACTTTGGAGTGTTAGAGAGACTTTACCATGTTTAACAAGTTCAGAAGCAGAAATTGGCGAATGAGTTGTCCAGGCGAATAGGAATTCAGCCTCACAGTTTTCTACAACCTAGTGTAATAAAGGGTAAGGAAGGAAACCCATATGGCAATTAAGGCTCAAATAGGCTGAGACCTGTTTAGACTTGACAATGAAGAATTTCATGGTTTTTGAACAGAACATGAATATTATAATCTTAGACAATTAAATAAAATCTAGGTGCGTGGGGAAGTAGTGATGGAAGAAACACTCTCTGTAGCAAGTAATCAGTACTGCAGCTGAAAGTCGATTCCAACCTCTTACTGCTCTTCACAATCTATTCCTTAAACATCTGTGCTCACTGCTGCATGCTCAGCATCTATGACAGTCTGGCCCAGCAAATGTTGAATGAATGAATTCACACTCCTGCCTCTTGGAGTTTTCATCCACCTTTTTGCTTGTTTGTTGGTTTCTAAATATGTCACGAGTCTGATTCCCTGGGAAGCAGAGTCTGAAATGTAGTTTCATGTGCTTAATGTTTAGTAAGGTGCGCCTTTAGGATCAACCCGTGTGGAAGGAAGAGGACAGAAGCAGGCAGGAGCAGAGGTGGAGTTTGAGCTGTGATGCGGATCCGAGGAAATCCCCCCACGGACACTCTGACTGCAGAGGAGCCCTTCGGAGTTATCCCAAACTGGGCCAAGATAGCCAAGCTTTCGTATTTCTGCATCAATTAGTTGTGGTTAAGGGCTGTCACGGGAAGAGGAGGGTCCGAGGCCAGGTGATCCTCTGCAGCGAGGGCCCGTGAAGGGGCGGAGAGACGAAGGCCAGCAGCAGAGAACCACCCCCAAGGCCAGAGGCCCGAAGTCCTTCGTTGAAGGGGGATCTCCACGGTCTACTACGGTGTCCACTTCTTGAGGTAACTGCATTTTAGAGAATTTAAATCATGTATCCAAGGTCATCCACCTTGGATCTGAACTTAGTTTTATCTCACTCCAGAGCCCGTAATATTAATATTTTTGTTCCATTGCACCTGTGCCCGTAAGCTCATTTCTGAATTGGTGAGGGTGGGGGTGGGGGTTCGGAGGACTTGTCCTCTGGTTTCCGGGCTAATACAGTGCAGGTCCGGGTGCAGGACTGTGTGGGGCACTGACTCAGTCCTTTGAGAAATGCCCAGTGTTCCTCGCAGCCAGGAACCTGCCGTGATGGTGCCTTGTATCAAATGATATGATTAGCTAGTTGCTACCTACCACAACTTGAAATTG